GTAAAGTATCTTTTGGATATTGTACAAAAAATATGGAAGACTTTCTTTGTTTCCTCTGAGGTTCAGCGAACTGCAATTTTTTTTGTTTTGTGGCGACAAACAAAAAATATTTTAAAAATTCCCTCACACATGTGTGTGGCAGAGTTTTTCTTGGCATGGCAACACACAGCCACAAGAAAACGTTTAAACTATTTTTTTCCCATTTTTCTCAGACTTTTTGCTGCTGCTTCCTCTCCTTTCGCCGAGTTTATTTTCAAATTTGAAATTGTATGCCACAACAAAAATGTTTGCAATTGTCATGTGTTTGCAGTTTTCGCCATTCAGAGGTTGTAAAATATTTCAGTGTTAGTTTTGTGTTTTTTTGTGTTTTTTTGTTGTTTATTTTTGCCTCTTGCTGCTGGAATGGAATGTGAACGCCAAAAGACTTACATTGAGATATTTTCCTTGGGCAAAGAAATGTCCAAATCAATTTAAAATGCAGTCACATATTTTCTTTTAACATTTTTTCTTACTTATTTCCTAAGTCTTTTTCATTAAAATTATGCTTTTAAATAAAGTTTAGTGAATTTATATGGCACATATTTTCTTTATGTATAGTTTTAAATAATTGTTGAACTCGCCACCGCTTTAAATTATTTAGCCAGAGTGAGGAATGCAAAATATTTGTTTGACAGTTATTTGTTTATTTCTTCCTCTTGCCTTGGAATATTTTAATCTGGTATAAAAAGGTTGAGATATGTCGCCAAACATTGAAAGGCATATTATTTTATCCTTGACAAATTTGAAATGTTTGTGCAGTTTTTTTGTTGCTTGTTTATTTCTTCAATGAATTTGAGAGAGTTAAGAGCCTGTTCAACTATTTTGCAGGACGACCATGTTCGTCCTCCTTTTTGCCACAGAGATTTAAGAATCCTCTTTGTTTTGGTTTCGTTGCCTTGTTGTCATTATGCATATCTGCATTGTCAGGAGTTTTGGAAGTTGACCTAACTAGCACACAAATGCCGACTTACTTTATCATCTGACTCCCACATATTGCAGCTAGCTGGCTGCCTTTCTTGCCGGCTTTTTCCCCAACTTATCTCAGCTTTTTGGCACATTTTGACAGCAACATCCGTTTCTTGTCTTGACAAAACCCTTTTTTTTCTCTGTTTTTGTCTTCTCTAATTTGCTGTTGCTTTGTTGTGGTTACTCAAACAATTATTTTTGCATTTTCCCCAAGCAAAATGCTCATATTTTTTAGTAGTATTTCCCCTAAAGTGAAAAGCAAGTGCCTGCATTTTAGTTTTTCCATTTATTTAACAATCTTAAATTGATTTTTTCGCTGTTGGTTCATTGGAAGCAAATGCATTTCATTTTCATTGCTTCAATTACTGGCAAAGTTATTTATAAACCTTGATTTATTGGAAACTTTTCCTCATTTCGTTTTTGCCCCTTTTCTGATTTGCCATTTGTTACTTCTCATTAATTGTCTTTTGTTTGCTTTTGTTTTTATACTTTTGTTATTTTTTGCACAGCATTTATTTTTGGCCCGGTTTTTCATTAATTTTCGCATCACATTATACAACACACACACACTGAACAAAAGTGTGATATTTTTTCCCCTTCGATTTTTCATCGATTTCAATTGCGTCTGTTTACGCCTCTTCCACTTAACGTGCGACCTTCGGAATTTGGCTTGAATTTTCATCAAGTTTATTTACTTAAACCGAAACAGAAATCACACATACGCCGCATTGGCCTTCGCCAGCTGTTCATCTTCCTCCCCCAAACTGACCCCCGCCCCCCGGCTTGCATTAAGTATTTACTGCTGCTTTTAATTAAAAGCGCACGCAGGTCTAATTGGCATTAAGCATACGCCAGGGTGCACTTGACCAGATCCAACAGGCTAGCCAACTCCGGGTCCTGTGTCGCTCAACTGGTCAGCAGTAGCAGTCAAAATCCTGGCTTTGTTATCATGTCTGCGGCAGGCTTCCTTTGCTGCTACTGCGAAACAATGTGCTGTTCGCTGGGGAAAATCTGTGCGAATTCCATAAGAGAATTTCCGTATTGCTGGTTGTAGTAAAACTATTTGTTTTCAAATGTTCCATTAAAAGTTGATTTCTAAACATACTCGAGTTGTACATTAGAAAATCGTAATTAAATTATGTATTTTAGGTATTTGAATGTAGGTTCACCTTTACCAAATTTGGATTTATTTAAATTTATTAAAGAACTTTTACTCTTGGAATTGAATAAAAGTATTGGTTTTTGGAAGTAATTTTCTCAAGTTCCCTTTAGAATGTTCAATTGATTAATAAATTCTTATGAAAAAAAAGCTAGGTATTTTAATATAATTTTCCTCTTCTAGAGTTTAATTTACTTGAATCCATAAACGAATTTCCATATTGCCCATTGAATAATAGTATTGGTTTTCTAGGAAATCATTCCCTCAAGTTCCTCTAAAAATTTACATTTCTAAGCATACACAAATTTGTTAACGATTGATTAATAAATTTTAGGGAAAAATGTAACTTAGGTATTTTAGTTCATATCTACTAGTGTTTTCTGACTTCTATTTATATTTCTCATAATTAGTACATAAAATTGGTTACTATATATAATAGTTGTTATATAATAATGTTAAATAATAATTTGATGTTAACCCCTTTTAAAAGTAATCGCAACATGTGCTTTTCAAAACATTAAAAAAGTGATAGTGAAGTGATTATAAAAATGTGTCTGAGTTTGCGAAAACTTTGTCAAGCCTGTCGAGGTTGGTATAAATAAATGAAACACAACTAGTCTGCATAAAAACTATAACGAACTAAATATATGCATAACAAACTAAGGAATTTCTTTTATCCACGCCTAATATAATTGGCAAACTTACAAAACTTCTAAGACATTCCAATGCCAATTTGGAAAATGCCTACACGTTTGACCAAAATAAAAAAAATGTCGCCTGTCTCTGCTCCATCTCCCCACTAAAGATCCCCTAAGGTCCAATTTAGAGATGGGTGTACATATATACGGAGGCGTCTATATTTATGCCTTCCGTTGACAGCTTTAGCATCTGCACCTACACACAAAAATAGTCTGCAAGAGTCCCAAAACAAAAAAAAATAAATATATATATATATATAACTTGCGATTAGCTCTCTGATCCATTAAGGCATTCGAGTTCCCCAGCAAATTTGTGTATAAATAAATAAATTAGGAAAATGGAAATAATGGCGTGGACGATTAATTAAACAATTCATTGAAAGTGTCAAAATATTATGTGGTTGAGCAGTGACTCAGAACTCTGATAATAGGATATTTAAGATTTAGATATTTTAAAGTAAGTTCATATTGTTTTTAAACATTCCGTTTTATTTTCGAGTGAATGTATCAAAAATATTAAATACCTTTTGACATTTTGGGAAAACTCAATCAAAACAAAATTAACCACACAAACAATAGGACAAATAAAACAAAAAAAGTATGCCTGATAAAAATGCAGAGTCGGATGAAAAAAGGAGAAACAATAGTCATGCAAGTCTGCTGATGACCACATCGTCTACTCATGTTCGGCACGTGGAAAGTCACACTAGTCTAAATCAAAGTGCACTCAAGGATGAGCATGATCAGACGTACATGACCAATAGCTCGCTACTTTCCAATGATTTTGTGGTAATGCTGGATTGTTCGCCCACCATTGAAGAAACTTTCTGTGAAGATTCACCGGAATTTAATGTAGCTTGGTTGTGGCTCAATAAATTGACCACAATGCATTGTAATAATCTAAATGATTTGCGCCTGCGCAATGCTTACATGAGTCATTTTATTGTTTGCCTGAATCAAAGACGTTTGACGGGGATTTTTCGAGAGCGTCCACCAGCGGAGTTGGTTTGGGTTAACTTTTCGGAGTGGAATGTGGATTGCTCTCATGATCAGAGTCATTCTTATCGAACAGCGCCTTCTACTACTTCATCATGTGTTTGTACAGGACATCGTACATCGGAGTGTTTTGATTCCTATTCAAACAGTGCTCGTCCTTCGGGGGGAACTATTGCCACATCTTTACCAAAATCCCCAGTTACCCAGAGGCGAAAGCTTCTGCGTTCCGTGCCCATAACTAGTGATGAAGAAATGCATCAGATATACCGAAATAACAAAGCCAACTTTAATTCTAACCACTCCTCCCCATGTGTCCAGTTGACCACCAGTCGTTCTCAATCCTCGCCAGCAAAATTTGAACCCACTAGAAAAGTTCCCAATGCCTTCCGATCTTCGAATAGTCAGAAAACTCCCCAAGATGCCCGACAGCGTATGGTTGTGTTAATGGAACTTATAAGAAAAGAGTTGGGTGGCGAACCGGATCTGGAAAAAAAGGACATTTTGGAGGCGGAATTACGCAGATATCGTGATTTTTTCGAACAGCATATGCAGGATAATTCCGATTTTGAGGCTCATAAGGGCGGGGATTCCAATTCGGAACGCACTAGACTGCTTCTCAATATGCAAACAGATCTGATCAGGATGTTGAAAGAAGGTGTGGCGTGATCCAGCTTTAGTTTTTATTATTTATTTAAAAAATAAATAGAAAGGTCACAGTTTTAATGTTTAAATTGTATTGAAAACATTTGGAAGGGTGAAAAAAGAAATGGTTGCATTGTTTGGTTAGTTAAATTCTTAAGTTCAAGAGGAATTATAGATCCTAGAATAATCTTTGCCCGAAAATGTCCCATAAAATAGAATTCGAATATTTTGTATATGAATTTTATATTATATTAAATATAATGCATATTAAATTGTTTACATATTTATTTTGCATAAACAGTAGATTTAATATGGTTTCTATATTTTTAAACGCATTTTATTTACATTTAATGTGCTTTAAACAAAACATAGCATTCAGAGATTAAAATCTTTTTCGAAAATAGTCATGTTAAAAAAATAAGTTAATATTACCATATTTAAAAAAAGTGTAAACTTTGTATTTATCGATATTTTAATCTATATTTTATTTTTTTTTGTAGGTCGCAAATCTGTGGACGAGACATCGGGATCGGTGAACAACAACTCCAGCCAGCAGCAGCAACATTCCATTCCGGGCTCCGCTAGCGGATCTCCCCAGCGAGTGGCCAACAAGCGCAGCAGCATCACAGTGAACATGCCAGCCGCCGGTCTTGGCCAGCGTCCGCCGAGCATTATATCGACGACCAGCCAGGATGAGGGTGGCTTCAACGAGTCCGCGCCCGAGGTGAAGGCCAAACTGCAGCCCTCTTCCTATGACCTCCAAACGGAGGAGCAACCGCATAGCTTAAACTACGTGGATGTGGGCTATCGCCTCAATCCCGATGGCAGCGAAAGTCGCGAGGTTTACGGATCCGAGGCAGAACTCTATGACACGGCCAAAGTGAGCGATATGCAGCGCAAGTTCCACGGAGCCAATGGTTTTGCCCAGGAGTCGAGCACGGTGTATGCCATTATCAAACCGGATGTGCAGGATTCCCAGCCAGTCGTAGTGGCTGCCACGCGAGGAGTTCACCTCCAGTCGCCCACTTCGTCGAGTGTCGAGGGATCTCCCCTGCATCGTGGTGTCTATAATTCCCCACCCGTGGGCGTGGTTTCACCCATAAGGCGACGCAATAGCAACAACCAGGATCAGAGTGTCGGAGGAGGAGGCGGAGGAGGAGGTAGTGCCAAGTCCACGCCCCCTTGTTCACCCGCCCGTGCGGCGCTCAAAGGCATTGCCCCCATAGCCTCCATTGATGCCCACGAAGAGGAGGAACTGGATCTCGAGGAGGAGGAGGAGGATGAGCATTTGGCTGTTGAATATGTGGAGGTTTTAGAACTGGAGGAGGAGGAGGAGGCTCCAGTCCTCCCAGAACGACGAGCTCCGGCTCAAAATTCCCTAGAATTGCAGGATTTGGAGTATGCCGATACCAGTGCTGGCGAGGATGAGGAGGATATCATCAACCACTTGAAAGGCGATATCCTGGATGTAGAACTAATCGACGATGTCGTCGATGAGGTGATCAAGGTTCATGTCAATCACAGTGTGGCCATTGCTCCACCAGTTCCAAATGCTGCTCCGGCTGCAGCGATTCCGCGGGAGGACAGCTTGCCCGATGACATGACCGCCGCCGAAGCCGAACGACTGTTGAGCTCTAGGTGAGTTTATTTTTGGAAAAGTTTACTATATATTTTCCTGCAATTATTTATTCTTAGTTGAAGCATGTGTCTCGTTTTTCTTAGCAAATGTCTTATGTCTTTTAAATAATTTTTTGCCTTTTATAACCAAATACTTACGTAACAGTAACCATTCAATATACTTTAAGTTCAGGCATGTACTTTTTAGATTTATTGCCATTATTTAATTAATAATTTAATATCATTATTTTAGACTTAAATCTAAGGTAGTAGCATGTTAAGTTAAGTACTGCCTTAATAAAATTTATACACTAATAAATAAATAAATTTTATACTCAATTCAAATATTTATCTGAAAATTCACTTTGAATCTAAACCATAAAAATATTTACCACATTAGTCAAATATTTGTATATTCAATCTAACCATTTTTAGTATGCATTTATTTAATGATTAATTAATAAATTATATAAATAATTTATTTATCAGTGTAGCGATATTTTTCCATTTAAGCTAATTAATTTTTTTCTGCCTTTATTACTTACACATTAAATAGATTTCATCAGCATTGCAACTATAATCAGCCTTAAACTCGCAAAAAGTACCAATATTTACATTAATCCTTTTTTGTTGATATTAAGTTTCATTAGCATTTGTATTTCTTTTAGCCAATAATTAATCCTGAAATCAAGGTATCTCAGACATTATGCACATTTCCTTCGTTTTCTTGGCCCCAGATGAACTTCATTCACTCGCTCACATATTGAGCTAATATTTACATTTTATCAACCCCCCGTTCTCAGTCTCCTGAATTCTGTGGACTTCAAGTTATACTATAGTACTATTCATCATCAGCTTTGCCACCTTTCAACGCCAGCTTTTTGTTGTAATTGTAAGCTAATCTGTCGCTTGTCAGCTGCCGATGCACTCGCCATCCGTAGTCATCCGTAGTCAGTTCCGCCCGGAAGTGTTGACTCCGGCGGAGTTGGGTGCTGAATGCTGGATACTGGAATCCATGTGAATATACTGCCCTTTGTGCTGAGTAAGCTGAGTAAGAGGGTCTAAGCTGGTGCCACTTTAAACTGCCAAACTTGTTAAACTATTTCCAACTCTGATCCATTTAAAGCATGGACTTTAAGCCATCAGGTTTTATGTTGTTTAATGAGAGTGAGCTCCTCAGCCAATAGATTTCACCTGGTTTGGGTATCTTTTGACCCATTTAGAATTCATATACAGTTCAATAAAAACCAATAAAATAAAGACAATTACATTTTGCTTAAATTTGTTACATTTTTAAGTTAACGAAATACCATTTAAAATTTTTCTTGCTGTTTATGAGAACATTTAAGATCGTTTTTCAATTTCCTGATAATAAATATGTTGCCCTTTTCCCATCACTGGCAGACATTCACAGGTGAGCTCAATATGTGCATGTGAGTTCAACGAAGGCGGTTAAAGGTTTTTGTGAGGTGCTTTTGGTATCTAGATTTTCGCCGTCATTTATTCTTGGCCTGGCATTCTGCGAGCGATTCGCGGCTGCTACCCAGAATTGACTTGCCATTGATTTATTGTGTACAACCATCCTGCTATTCGACGTATTAAAATGCAATTTTCAAACGATTTCCCACAGCGAAGCGAGTAGTGTTACCCTTTTCAATCGTTATAGGTTTTATGCTTATTTGCGTTCCGTTCTTCGACGCTTTTGTTTTGGGAGCAATTTATTATGAGCCATTACCAGCAATTACGTAGCCTTGCCTTGGCACTTTTTGCTTGGGAAAAAGGGGGAAACTCTCTCCGCATTTTGCACGCAAATAACCAATTTCGTTTTAGCCGCGGAAAAAATTACACTTAACCGTAGTTCTTTGGCAATATGTGTGCTGTGTGTTGTGCTGTGTGCTGCGCTGTGCTGCATACGTCAATTAGTCGAGCGTTTTTTGGCCTTTTGTTTATGAACGTTTTCCGTGCGAGACTATAGTACAACTCACTCAACTTGGAGTGAAAATTCTGGAGAGAGCCTCGTTTTTCTCTCGCTCTCGTTTGGGATAGCCTGCATTTTCCACTCATTTTCCACGCTCCTGCGTATCCTGTGCAGTTTTGTCCTGCATTTGCGAAGCCACTCGAATCACATGCCCGCCGCTCGTTCATCCTGTCGCATGGTTGCAAAATGGTTGCGTTGTCAAAAAAAATAATAGGAAAAACGGAGTAACGGAAAAAAGAAAATTCCGCGCGCTTGAAACGAAATCCGTATTTGGCTGGCCAAAAATAAAGTGGGAAAAGCGGCAAAAACGCACAAAATGTAAGGCAATTTCGCCGCCGAACATCGTTTTAATTAACATTTTCGTGCTCGCAGCGCAGGAAATAAGTTTTAATTAAACTTTAAGTCGGAACTGAAGAAACTGCTGTGTGTCAACAAAGTGCAAGTGCGTCTTTTGGGGTAGATGGAAAAATATTATTATCAATATTTAATGTTTGCCATCATGACATTTTGCTGCCATAATGATGATGATGATGAAGGGTTCCCATTTTGGGTTCGGTATTCGGTTCCTTATGGCTGGGCATTGTCGGTGCCTTGTTGGCTTTTAATTAGACAACTGTCATGTTGGAGAATCGCACACGACGAAACTCGTCGTTAGTGGCCAGTTATCACAGTTTCCATGTTCATTTCTCTCGATTTTTCACATTTCTCCAGTTTTCCCTTCGCATGCATTAATGGCAATTGGTTCTGGCTTTCCTGATGATGATTTGTTTGCTGATATGAGGCTTTTGTGGTTTCACATTCACTTGTATTTCAAAGATATTGCATTTGAGGCTTTTGCGGTTCAACTGCCAAATACTTTGAGTACTCGAAAGTCGCTTAGGTTAATCACAGTAAATGGCGGAATTTTACTTTATATGTTTTTTTATAACCAGATTAAATATCGCAGATTTGGATTACTTGATTTTTTAGCCTTCAAAAACTTCAAAGTGGCATTTAACATTTGTTGTCTGTTTAAACTACGTGTTTGTTCACATAATAATAATAATGTTAATACAAGCGTATTCCTGATAAAGCAAACTGTTTCATTAGGTTTAATTATTTATATTTATTGATCAATTATTATTTGCTTGACTGCTATGACAACCACATTAAATTATTTTTCATTTAATTTGATAGAGCTTTTATAATCAGTTGACAATTTGTTTTTTTCGTTTTAGGCTAAATTTGTAACCAACAAGTCAAAGTTATAATTAATCCCATTTATTCGAGTATAGACCAATATTAGGCAACTTCACTGACACTAAACTATTTTCGTGATTAAACATTTAAATGAGTTGTTTGCTTGCCTGCTTTGCTTTTGCCTTCCATTTAGTTTATTCAAATGAAATTTGTGTTAAGTGTAATTTAAGCGCAATTACAAAAACTAACTAAATGGGGGGATTCCCCCATGTTAACCCCCATTCCATCTTCATCATCATCGTCACATCCTGGCAGACATTGCCAAAGGGATCAAAAACAGGGCGACAAGTGCTAATCGCTCATTCGGCATTCAATATGCTGGGCTTTCCCCTCATCTTGCCTTCTTCTCTTTTTTTGGTAGCCAAAAGGAAAATGGAGGGGGAAAATGCAATTCAGTCAAGTTTGCTTTTAGTCTTCGCGCTGCGCTTTTAAGCTTATTTAAATTGCGGTGGCGACTTAAGCCACAGGGGGCGTGGGTGGGTTAAGTAAGGGGTGGTGTGTGGTGTGTGGCTGGCAAATGAATAGAAGTGGGCTATAAGTGCATTGTGCAAGTGGTTTCTGTGCTTAGTTAAATTGTACAAGTGTCTCTTTTTGCGTTCAACTGACAGCAGCAGCAAATGAGTTAATGTGCGATTGGATAAGACAAGGATTTGTCATGGGAATGAAATGCTGTAATGGGGTTTCGTAAAAGGATTTTGGTAAATAAATTGGTAAATACCAAGAGTACAGTTCTTAGTCAAGGATTTGTACTGGAATTGAAATGTAGGTTCAGGGTTTCGTAAGTGAAATTTCGTAAATAAATTGGTATATACAAAATATATAATTCTCTCGACCGTTCTCTCAAGCTCATGGTAAGCTATTCTTAGCTTATTATATATTGAAAACTGACTCTAAATGACTTTTGTGAGTACCAAAAAATATGTAAACAATTTACCCCTCTTAAGAAAAGGGCAATAAACTCGAACTTCCCTTTCAAATTGCATAATTTTCTGCACAATTTCTCCCCTTTTAAAGAAACTAATGCAAAAGTACAGTTTTCCCCCATTACAGGAACCCTTTATTAAATGTTAAATTTCGCCATGATTATCACCAACCCCCTGTTACAATTAACATAACTTTGGGGCCTTAAAATATGTATTTATCAGGCGCTCTCGAACTTTCACATGAACTGAAATAAAATGCATAATTTCAGAAAATTTGCCTGCGAGCATCAAAAGTGCATGTTGGTCAACTAATTGAAAAACTTCACGCCCCCTGGGAATGCTTTTCGAAAAGCAAAATGTGAAATTGAAATTCATTTGCAGCAGCTCAGGGCAGTAAAAAGGCCAGGCCCAGAGAAATCACACATACGCAGCGTTGTCGCAAGTGGCAATTGCTTAACTCTCTGATCTCGCCTTTTTTGGCATTCAACAAGAGCTCTCAGTCTCTGTCTCACTCTCTTATTCCCTCTTTCAACTAGCCCGCAATTTACATAAATTGCAGCAGCGACAGCAGTTTCGGCCATGTGTTGATTATGTCCTTGTCGTCCTTGGCCAAAAGTCGTGGCCAGAAGAGGCCGAAGTAAAGTAAGGACCAGCTGTGCGAGAGTCCAACTCTCATTTATCTTTCGGCCAAATGTTTGGGGCTCAACAGGAGCCACTCTTTTGTGCCGTCCTCTTCCTTATGTCTTGTTTTTTGGCAGCCTGCCCAGCTGAGCCCACTGTCCCCAAAACGTTTGTCCTTGACACGAGGCCTGTGCTCCTCGACAATTCCACTATCCACTATCCTTTTTCTGGGCGGGCGATGGAAATGGGCCACGTTTTCGGGCAATTTGCTGGTCAATTGTGAACCGTTTTCGGCACTGGCCTATGTAATTGTGGAGTACTTGCAACTGCACTATGAAACTGTAATATTTCTAATGTTTATATTTGTTACTATTATTTATTATTATTTTACATTATCCTTGAATTTAGTTAAATCTTTTGTTTTTTTTCAAAGTGTCTTTAAACAAGTGGTACATATAAAGTGTCTTTGAAACAGTGAAATATAGAACTGATACTGATTGGGGAATTAACTTTCTTAACGGAGCCGTTTGTGAATGTCCGTTGGCCATTGGCCATTTTCTAGTTAGCTTGGCCCTTTGCTTTTAACATTTTTCCGCTGCCTTTTCGCCTGGCAACTTTCTTCTGTTCACGCTTTCTCAATGATTTTTTGTGTGTTTTTCGGCGGGTTTAACTTTGCCCCTTCTATTCCGGTTAGCTGCTCCCGCTTTCTCTTTACTTTTGTTTCTTTTTTTGGTTAGCTTGAACTTTTGCTTTTGACGGCATTTGAAAAAAAAGTTTTTGGTTTCGCGTTTTTAGTGCTAGTATTTCTTTCGTTTTTATTATTGTTGCCCCTGCTTTGCTCGGGCGTTGTAATCTTATTTGTGTGCTTGGCTTATCGCACGCCCTGTACTGCCCACTTTTGTTTTTTAATTTTTTGTTGTGTGTGTGTTTTTTTTTTCATTTCTAACCCCCTTTCACCCCATCTCAATTGCAACAAAAAATGGCAACAAAGTGGGTGGCCAAATGGGTGGCGAAAGGAAGTGCACTGCAAGTGCAACGCAAAAGTTTTGAAGGCAACTTGGAAATGGAGCACGAATGACGCTTTGGCCCATTTGTTGGTATTTATTTCAATAGTTCTTGAGATACTCTATGTTTAGATGTCAAGCCAAAGAAAATGTTGACTATTCAAAGGGGCTTGTTTTATTGTAAAATGTAGCTTGATTGAGTAAAAACATAGAAGTTTAAATAGCAAGAAAAACTTTTGTATTTGATGAAGATTTTTATGTTAGATAAAATGAAAGGAATTAATTACTCCAATAGGTCAATATATTTAAAACTTCCTTTTTATTTGCTCCAAAATCGTTTATTTTAAATTGTAAATGACTTACTTTCAAGTTTGAGAATGTGATTAGTGCGGAAATATATGTCTTTACTGCATAGTTATAAAGTATTAAATGTTATCCGTTCAAAGGCAAACAAATTATTCAGTTCAGAAAATAATTTATTGCTTCAATTGGAAAATATATTTATTACTTGCTTATTGTTTGCTTCAATAGTTTTTCAGGTTGAGATAATTAAATTAGAATTTTAACTTTTCAATGACATATTTCCAAGATATTGATAAATGCCAAAATAAATGGCTTACTGCATTAATTACAGATATTTTCCTTAAAGTCCGTCTCTCAAAGGAAAACAAATTATTCAATTCAGAAAATTATTTCTTACTTAAATAAGTGAATAAATTTTTCTGTTTGTGAAAATTGAATTAGAATGCAAACTTTACAATGACATATTTACAATACAAAGAAATAAAAAGCTTTACTGCAATAATGCCAAAAAGGCCAACAAATTATTAAATTCAGAAAATGATTCATTACTTAAATGGGTCAATATGTTTATTACTTTCTTGTTATTGTCACCCATAGTTTTTATAATGATTTGTGCAATGACTTATTTCCAAGGCAAAGAATGTAATAAATGGAAAAATAAATGAACTTTCTGCATTAATAACAGAAAGTTGCCATCCTGAGGGTGTTTTGCCCAGCGACTGTGACTCTGTGTGATATTTCCTACCTCCATTACTCGCCTTTAGCGATTCCTTCAACGTCGGTCCACTAATGCTACCCCATCCGATATAAAAGCAGCTCTCCAAAGGCGACTTTATGGTTGGGACGCACCTACCTTTAGCACTTTGTTTTGTCCTCGTGACTGGTATTCTGGATATCCGAGGAGTGTCCTGGTGACTGCTGTTTACTCAGTTGTTCGCATAAGTTTCAGTTTGAGGCAAATACTGCAATTTATCGCTGTGACGCGCGATGTGTGAAGTTTTGGGCTAATTCGCGAGATAAAGCCGGATGATAAAGATAAATAGGTGAAGGAGTCCGGGTGTTTTTATTTACCACGTTGATTGCCTGCAAGTGGGAATGCGAGTGCCAAAGTGTTGCACTCACTTTGCCCGGACAAAGTTTGCCCCGAAAGTTTGCGTTTTAGTAGCAAGTTATGGAATTTTTTATCCTCGAGATGGCAGCAGCTCCACAGTGGGTGGCCAAAATTATATTTAAAACACTTTTTATATACATATTTGTGTATGCAGAGCACTTAAGTAGTTGGCATCTGGCACACCGCGATCTGCTAAAAACAAAAAAAAAAAAACAAAACAGAAATGTATTGCAGGTAGGTAACTTTTGCTTTGAGCTGATTAAAGGACTCAAAGTTTTTCATTTTCCGGGAGAGAGATTCTTCGAGCGTTTAATTACCTCAATTTCCTGCACAATCTACCAATGAATGAGGGAAAAACATTGATGGCGGTGCTGGAGCACAGTCTATCGTATTGTCGTGCTACTTGAATCGAAATGGGTTTTCAATTGAACGTTGCTCATACGCCATGTTGATCCTGTTGACATTGTTGTTTCCATTTTCTTGTTCATATGCGGGCCAACACACACACACTCGTTCTGGAATATAATTGTTGCCAAGTTGTCATTTTCAACATTGTCATCGTCCTGCTTTCCTGCTTTCCTGCCCCCCTTCTTTTCACCCCGATGTATGTCCTTTGTCGTTATCCTGCGTTTGTGATTTTTCTTGCTGCATACTTTGGTGCGCACGCAGTAAATATTTTTCCTGCCTGATTGTTGTTTCTGCCGGAGAGCTGTCTCTGCTGTGGAATTTGTATTTGCTCTGTTCCCGTACGTGTTTGCCATAATAAAATGCGCTTTTCAATTTTCATAGCCATTCGCCTTTTGCTGTCCCTGTGCATTCAAATTGTCATTGCATATGATTAAGTGCTAAACGGGTTAACCTCTGATGTGCTTGCCAAATTTATGCAAATAAATCAGAAATGATAATGACACCAACAATTTCAACAAGTCATCCGCAGAGATTTCATATTTTTTTTTTTTGGGAAATATTTATTAAAACTAAAACCGAAAAGTTATGTCTCTGAAAACGTTCCTTCTCTTCTTTTGTGCTATAAAAAATTTCATCCAAAAATATATATATTTTGCTATGATCAAAAGTAGTTGTTATTATATTTTACCAATTCTATTGCATTATCTAAAATCTCAACTTGTTTCTTGGATATTAGATATAACACATTTAAAGTAATTTAAAAAAATACATTGTGAGCCCTTAAAAGAAGTTCTCATGTTGCACTTTCATCTATTACATCTATTGTTTATTATTGTTCAACATTTTTTTAAAAAGCCACTTTATTATGCCTTGAATATAACTATTCTGATAGCTTAACCCACAGCAAACAATAGCCAATTTGTGTTATATATTTTCTCCTTGCACATCGTCACATTATCATCGTCATAGCTCACCTTGACTTGCTTTTTTCGACTGTCCGGGTTCAACCAGGCCGAAAACTTTCCCTGCTTTCTCTTCTCCGCTCCGCCAAACACAAGCGACTTTGAAAAGTGCTGGCGAACTGGACGAATGCAGGATGTAGATGTGGAGTCTAATCCAAGCCAACAGCTATTAATAAACGAGAATGCTTGCTGTAAAACTCACGAATGACTAAGCATAAATTCTGTTAAATTTATCACAACACAATGGAAGGCCAAAACCGAGCGAGTCAGACACATGACGTCATTGTGGGCCAGGGCCAAAAAGCACATGGAGCCCAAGCACATGGAAAACTCACTCGGAGAGCGAGGATTTTCCTTGCTTCCACAGGGAAAACGACGCTCTTGAGTGAGTTAAATCCGCTCTCAGTTTGTGGGGCAAGGCTTTGCATTGCGGTTTCCTTTTCGCCGTTGTTATTTAAATTAATTAAAAATGTATGACGAAACAATAAGCAGACTGACCTTGTTTGCGGCGGCGGTGCTCTGTGTGTAAACGTTCTGTATGCCACATTCCATATGTCCGCTGCGTTTCCCTAATCAACTTGTGCTTGTGCTCCAATAACTAGGCAACGAAAAGTGTCGGAGCACACAACCCATAGTCTCCCATTCTGGCTTTTCCGGATTTTCCGCCTTTGTTTGTTCGGCACAAACGGAAAATTCCAAGCGTCGCATAATTGCATTTGTCTTTCGCATTTTCTTTTCGCTCAACGTACTATGGAAAAAAATAATAAATCTCTTGGCATAAATTAAAAGGTGTTGAGTAGGGTATTAAAACATATATCTGGACTTTAAAGTTGTTAGCTTTAGAATATTGATAAATCATCATTACGTCTGGCCTTAAAAAGGGCTTCTGTTTTTTTAATTGTTTTCAAATCTTTTGAAAATATGCAAAGATAAATTAACGATTGTAATTAATTTAACGATTGTAATTAAATTTAAAAAGCTTGAAGTTGTATTTTTAAATTAATCCACTAATCATGTTTATGTAATTCCAATTTTTGTTTTCATAAATGTACCATAGTACAACGTTTGGAATATTTCCAGAGTTTGTGTTGTTTAAATATCGTTAAATCTGAAGCACATTCCCTACTTTTTTGTGCTTGTAATTATTTTTCCGTCGCCGCCGTTGCAGCCGACAAAACTTTGTCATCGTTGTTTCGCGCGTCACATGCGGCGTATGCGTAATATTTTGTTATGCATGCAACTGCGTTCGCTTTAGGCGACCTGTAGAGAGGTGTGTGGTTAAAAAAGCATAGGGGATTGTCCCACATATTCGCTAGCAATTAAAAACGGTAGCGTGTTATTTTTATTTTAATTATAAAGCGATAACTTTATGCTAATTCTTTTTCGTTTTGACTGGGTTGCCGGATTACCCCTCTCTACTAAATCCCTCCACTTGCAGTTTTGAAACCCAGCCATAAGCCGCTTAGAAGTTACCCCCTTGAATAAGTTTTTAATTTTTGTTTGGGCCAATTCAATTGTTTTTAGTTGAATGTTAGTTTTGCACGAGAGATTTCGTTGGCAAATCGCTGACTAATTGTTTTATTGCATTTTATTGGATTGCATTTGGGGTTATCGAAATATCTGAATTGTTTTTCAATGGAGCCATTTGGAAATTGCCGTCAACTGTCGGGCAATATCGTTGAATTTTAGGCCATTGGCAAATATGTTTTTGAAAGCCAAGCTAATTATAGTCAGTTGGGCTGCGTGTGAAAATGCCAATTGCAATTGCAATTACATAAATGCACTGTTGGAAAGCTTATTTAAATGCATGGCACACAGATAAGCACCACCTTCCTGCGGGGGAAAATGGAAAAGTGGGAAAGTGGAAAAGCGGGAAAGCGGGAAAGCGGGAAAGTGGCCACTTTGGATCTTCACCCGACTGTTTGTTGTTGTCTCAGTGTCTGCCACTTGGCTCTCATTATCAACAACATAATCAACCACTTGCAACAACTAAGGCTCTGCATGTTAGTTTCAATGATTAGCAACGTTCTCAGTGCACTGAAAGAAAATTCGTCTACAACATGCTATTATTCGAATTTTCATTTTTATGTATCCTAAATTATGTTTAAATAAATGTAATTATATCAATGCAATAAATGCATCTAAGTATTTTTTATAATATTATAAACCTTTAAATTAAATGTATAGGAAGGAAAATATTTATTTTCTTGGGAAAAGTAATAAAATTACTTATTTTGTCAATCACTTTGTAATTTTCACCGTGTATGGTCTTGTCCTCGTTGTCGTTGTCGCTGGCAATTGTTGGCAGTAATTAACAAACACTGCGATAGGGATATATATATATATATATATCCACCTTACACGTGACGTCACGCACAAGTGAGAGTGACAAACACTTAAACGTTAAATGCACCCAGCTAACTGACAACTGTCTACCTGTACTACTTGCACTGCCTGTTTTCCTCACTTCAGGTGCCATTGCGTGTGCAACACGGCGTATGCGACATATAACTTTTCACCCGATTTTCCACCCAACTCGCTTTGGGCTACGTGCTCGTGTAAGCGTGCATGTTTAATTTGGCATTGCATACTTTGCGGCGCTGACTGCATTTCACGTCCTCAAGTTTACTTTATTATTCTGTGCAATTAAAGGGCGACTTGTTGGGTTTATTAATTTAAGGGAAAATAGTGAGGTAACTCGGATGGCGGTGATATAAATTTAAGGCACTTTTTAAGCTATCTGTAGTATGTATGATGCCTAAGAATTCGCGAATTTAAAAATACAGCGACTCTTAGGGTTTATAAATTTAAATTAAAATTGTTAGGTTACTTAATTGGAAAGTGATTCAAATCAACGACACTTTCAAAGCTATATCTTAAGTATAGTTGACAAAGTTGCAATTTAAAGGGTATAATATAAAGGCTTCTCAGCTATTTATTAAAAATCAAGAATTCGTTGATTGAATTAAATTGAACCCGAAACTCTGCTACAAATTAAAGCCAATTCGAGGTGATGAAATGGAATCGTTAGCGAAAACTGGGAAACCAACCGCTGGATGTAGTGTAAATTAAAAGCGCATTACATTTTAATTGCACACTTTTGTCGACTGCTGAACTCGCCACTTAATTACTGTTATTATATGTATTTTAATTTTATTCACATGCTCGTTGCTCGTTTGCAACGTTTATAAATCTTTAAGCGACGCACGTAATCGTATGCATTTATTTGTATTATTTAAAATGATTTGCATGTTACTATAAATATTTCATAAATTTTGCATTTCTCTCAATTTGTTTACTTTCATTTATTTATCGTAAATTGCCTGTTATTGTTGTGCTTGTGTCCTGTTGTCCTGTTGTGTCCTGTCTGCGTAGCATTTTGGAAAACAAAATCAGGTTGGTGTCCTGTTTTCTGTAGTATTTTTATTTATTTATTTTTTTTTGATCCCTAGAGAGAAGGTTCCATAAACCTTATATATATTTCTATTTTTCTGATCCCACAAACATAGACAACAGTCGCTGCTGTCGGACGAACAGGCCAAGGAAGTCGAGCAAATACTCAACGCCGCCCCCAGCGTGGGCGTGGCAGTTGCTGCCGTTGTTGCCACAGCAACATCGCCGACCAGCATCAAGAATCTCATTGAGGATTTGCCGGGGCAATCATCAGTGGTGGTCGAGCAGGACATTCAAATTGCAGCTGTACCAGCGATAGTCGAAGAGGACGAGGAGGACGAAGAGGAGGGCCAGTTCCACGAACAGGAGGACGACGACAACGAGGAGGAGGACCACGCTAGGGCCGAGTTCGATGCAAACGGCTGCGGCGATGCTGACGGCGATTCCGATGACGTTGAAGCCGTGGACATTGTGGGCTTTTGCCATGCCGCCAGCGCATTAAACGCCACCTTCGTCAAGGCCGACAGCACGGAAACAGAGACCACCACCACCACCCCCTCGACGGCCACCACAGCCACAGCCACCACTCGCCACGACGACGACGAGCCCGAGTGGCTAAGGGATGTCCTTGAGGTAGGAACCCTTTATATGCGTATTAGGGTATCCCAGAAATCTCTAACGCTTTTTGGGACTATTTAAAAGCCTTTTGGGACTGTTTGTTTGCTATGCAGAAAAAATACTGATATTTCTTAGTGATAAATTTAGTTTCTTAAAATTGAAACAAATTAAAATAGCAAGACAATAATAATTATTATTTTTTAACCCCTTTCACAGGCACCCAAGCGCAGTCTAGAAAATCTGCTAATCACCTCGGCAACCCAAGGACGGGGACCAGGTCAGCGGGAGGAGCTAGAAAACGGCTACGATCTACAAGAGAAACATTCCGATCTAAATCACACCTACGTGACCGGTGGGGAATCGCTGCACGAGTCGTTGGTATCGGTGGAGTCCACGCAATCGGATGCCACACTAAACCAAACCACGACCATCGACGACAGCATCATCTCCAGCAAGCACAATTCCACATATTCCCTGGCAGATGCCGAACAGGCCACCAATTCGACGGTCCTCAGCACTGGTGTTACCGAACTCGACGATAGTCAGTACTATATACCGGAATATCCGCCTGTGAGGAGCAAGGAAGTGCTTGTAGAGGCGGGAGTGCACTACTTCGAGGATGGCAACTTCTGGATGGAAGTGCCTGGTAAGCTTAGTTTTTATTAAAGATTATACCCACTAAAGAACTGTATTTCGAATAGGTCTCCTAGACTTTGACGACGACGACTGCTCTTATCCGCCCATCACAGTGCGCAAGAATCCCAAAGTTCGCTTCAGCTCCGGTCCCATCCACGTGTACTCCACTTTCTCCGTGAACGACTACGATCGCCGCAATGAAGATGTCGATCCTGTGGCCGCTTCGGCCGAATACGAGCTCGAAAAGCGCGTGGAGAAGATGCACGTCTTCCCCGTGGAATTGATGAAGGGTCCTGAAGGTCTGGGTCTCAGTATAATTGGCATGGGCGTTGGCGCCGATGCAGGCTTAGAGAAACTAGGAATCTTTGTGAAAACCATTACCGATAACGGAGCAGCAGCCAGAGACGGTCGCATTCAGGTGGGTTTTCAAAACATTTCATAAAATTTAAATATAATTTGAAGATAAACAAAGGAATTCGGATATAAAGAAATCAACGAACTCCAAATTATTTATATACACAATGACTAAAGTATTCATTAATTTCTAGGTCAACGATCAGATCATTGAGGTGGACGGCAAGAGTCTCGTGGGTGTCACCCAGGCATATGCAGCCTCAGTGCTACGCAATACATCCGGTCTAGTCAAATTCCAAATCGGACGCGAGCGTGATCCTGAAAACTCAGAGGTAGCCCAGCTCATACGACTGAGTTTGCAGGCGGATCGCGAGAAGGAGGAGCGCTTGAAGCGGTTAGTTTGCCAGGGATGCAGTCCAATCAACATATATTAATTGATCTAAAGTTATTTCAGCCAACAAGAGGAGTACCTGCGTCGCACGCTCGACTACTCGGAGGACTCCACGCAGCCGGTATCGGCCAATTCGAGTGTTTGCGAGGGACCTTCGAGTCCCGTTCAAGTGGAGCATCCCATGGAGGTGGAGGCCACCCATTCACAGGAGGTAGAGTCGCTCAAGCGACTGCTACAGGAGGTAAGGACTCTAGGAACTCTAGGGACCCTTGGACCCCAGAGGGTGGCCAATCCCCGAAAGAATCTCTATTGCAGCCGTGCTTAACTCTTGTGTGTGTTTTTGTGTGTTCTCTTCTCTCTCCTTTTGCTGAATTTCAACATTTTGTGTGGATATTGAAATGCAGCACAAAGCGGTAATTGGATTTGAAAATATCATTGAAAACAAAATTTTAGATAATCAAAAAATTGTAGAGCACATTTTCGAAACACTTTGATTAACTTTTTGTAACTTTAAATTATTTAATTTTATTTAAAGTTGAAAAGTTATTAAATTTTGCATTTTAATTTCCTAGATTTCTTTTCCTATTTTGTACTTAGCCTTTTAACTTTTTGTTTGCTAATTTCAGAGAACTTTAGCGGTGATTAAAAACTTTTTATGTTTTGTGTTAATTGTTCATGTATTATTGCATTTTTAATTTCCTAGATTTGTTTTCTTTAGGAAACCTTTTACTTAGTGTTATGAATTGGCCTATTTTTATAGTTTCTTGATTTTATTTTATTTTTTAATTTGAATGGTACTATTATTCTTTATTTTTATTTCCCCCAGAGCGAAATGGGTTGCCTGGTAAAGGAAGAGATTATTCAAAATCTAAAACGAAAGGTTTGTTTTTCTGTTATTTTATCTTATTTATTATTTACCCAACATATCATCTCATCCATCAGTTGCACAATCATTATTGTTTATAATGAAAAACGGCCAACTAATGTATTTGTTTGTAAACCTTCCCAGCTGGTGAAGCTCGAGACGACGGGAAATGAGAACGAGTTGCTGAGCGAGCGGCTCCGGCAAAGTGAACGGGAGCTGGGAAATATCCGGAAGGAGGCGGCCAATCTGCAGAACATGCTGCAGCAATCGCAGGGTCAGTACATGGCGCTGGACAAGAAGTACAACAAGGCCAAGCGGCTGGTGAGGGAGTATCAGCAGCGGGAGCTGGACATGTGCCATCGCGAGGAGTTCTACCAGCAGTTGCTCCAGGAGAAGGACACCGAGTACAATGCGCTCGTGAAGAAGCTCAAGGATAGGGTCATCAATCTGGAGCACGAGCTGCAGGAGACGCAGCGCAAGGCTGGTTTCCCCGTCGGACTGCCCTACGATAGTGCCACCCTAAAGCTAACACCCCAAATGATGCGCAAGACGCCGCCCAAACCACTGTTCCACAAACTGGAGACGGAGCTGTCGGACACGGAGATCTCCGATCTTTCGCCCGATGGCGATGGCGTGAAGACAGCCACTGTGGAGCGCAAGGTTCCGGTCAAGGACGAACTGGATGCGGCTGTGCCGCAGCACGAGCTGCTGGATAACTCGATTAACAAGACCAAAATCGATCTGGGTGAGTCCGTTTTGCCTCACCGCCAATTACCGCCATTATCTTACCCAAGCACTTTTTGACTCATTCGTTGCAAGGTTGTCATGGTTTTTAGAACAAAATATGCTTAAAATACGTAAAAAGCACATTAGTTTAGTTAACTAAATTCTTTGTTTTCGGGCTTTAAGTTTATTTATTTAATAATTATCTTAAAAGAGCTGACATAGTTCAATTTTTATAGGGATATGGTGTTCTTAGCTTTAAAGATTGATATTGATTATAACTTTGCATTCCAGATTTTAGATAAATCAAAGCAAATTTAGTATAAAAGATACCTTGTAAATAGATTTCAGAAATTTTTGAAATTTTTATTTTTAAATCGGATTTAAAATGTATCATACCATTCTTTTAGACATCTTTTAAAAGTCATTTTCAATTTGTAGAAATTTCTACTAGGCTCTACATTTTTTTTATTTTATAAAAAGCTAATGCTTCAAAAATCATTTCTACGACCATGACAATCTTGTTCAAAAAATGATCGTTTTGTTCTTTGTGCTTTGAGCTTTGAACTGCACCTGGGCTAAAGCAAGCACCACTGCTCCTCCTCTTGATTTCCTTTTGCTACTTTCTTCTTTTTGTTTTGTGCCCTCCATCATTGTCCAAACTGTCCATTGCTAATTGTTATTCTCTTTCTTTCCATTTCTCTCGATTTTATTTGATCTCTGTGTGCCGTTCGTTATATCGTACTATATATATCGTTCATGTTTGTATTACGTTCCTTTGCTCGTGTTGTGTTTTTGTGACTGCCACGCCTACACGCTGCGCCCTCATTTTGCCCAACTATACAACTACTACAAATCTTAATCGCAAATCGCAAAAAAAAAAACCAAAATCAATTTGAAAAACATCAATTTGCACACTGCAAATTGCAAAAAATGTGGGTTCTAAAACAAAAGCCTCCCGTGGTGGTTTAGCCAATCGCCAGTTGCCCTCAGCCAATGGAAACAGCAATGGAGCAGCTACTACTACTAGTGATCTTGGCCAGCTTTCGAATGGCAATCTACTGAAGCGCAGCCGGAGCAACAGTCGCAGTTCGGACTGCACCCTGGACGACACCGATGAGGAGGAGGACGAGGAGCGTGAGGGATCGGCCCTGAATCTGGCAGGTGGAGCACCTGCGGCAGCCACCAGCCATGAAACCATCAGCAGCCTCTCCAATGGCAACTCCCATCTGCTGGCCAACGTCAACAATCTTCTGCAGCATCATCCGCCGGTCATGGCCAGTGTGGTGACCGCCACACCCTCGAATGGCCACTTGGGCACCACCACGGCCATCCTGCTGAACTCCACCTCCTCCGCCTCGTCCAGTTCGTCCAATCAGTCGACGGCTCGCGAGGCACAGATCAATCAGCTGTACGCCCAGGTGCACAAGGATCCCAGCAAGCAGCAGCATCAACAGCAGCAACAGCAGCAGCAGCAGCATCAACAGCTGCAGCAGGCTCAGTTGGTGACCACCACCACCAGCAGCAGTATTCCCAGCATGTTCAAGAACGCCAGCATAGGATCCCCGGCGGACAACGGACTAAATGACTTCCATCGCGGCAGTATGACCACCTTTGGCACGGGCCCAGCCACCAGCAGCAATCGTGATCTCAACAGCTCCTACGACTCCATCCTGGGCTCCAACGACAAGCTGGCCGAGCATGAGCCGGCCGAGAGCTGGATGTACCCCAGCCGCCGGCGGGTGGCGCCCAATGGCAGCAAGGTTCCACTGCCCGGATCCAGCTTCACGGATCAACTCAACCAGGCGCTGTCCGATCGCGAGAGGTGGGTTTGGCTCTCCACAGAGCTGGTGGGATTAAGTAGTGATCATTGGAGGGAAATGCTTACAGGAAACGGAAAAAAATTCATTGAAAATATTTATTTTTTTTGGCACGTGTATATTTACTAAACTTAGTTTTAATAAATTTGAAAGTTTAGGTATAAGGTAAAAAATACTATAATAGGTTTTTCAATAAAAAGGGTTGTTTCTTTCGATTTTATGTTATTTTGTAACTTTTTACATTTTAAATCCTTTAAGTGGGGGTATCAAATTTGATATTTTGGGGGATTTCTTTTAGCAAAGTGTAGATCTTTTATTGATATTTTACTAAGTTTGTTTTCCGTAATCCTCAAAGTATAAAGTTTTAAGTTCCTTTTTGTTATAAGATTCAAATATTTGAAAAATTTGGAATGACAGATGGGTTCAGTAGTTAACAGTAGTTAATAATTGGGAAATCTAATAAATGGGCACAACACACACTCAAAAACTGTTATACACTCTGCTATACGGTTGCTCGACCTTTGCAGGCGACTCGGCGATGGATCCTCGCGACATTCCAGCGACGATTACACGGAGATCAACAAGAGCCAGAGCGCGGCGGCCATCAATTGCAAGACGCTGATCAACGAGATCCGCCAGGCGGTGAACGAGGCCCAGCCCAAAGGTGAACTATGACCTATGACCAACCAATCAACCAACCAACCAATCAAGCAACCAAACAAACCAGCACAATCCTCCGAATCTCTCTAGCCAGACCGTAGAATAACTAACCTTTAGATTGAACCCAATCCCGAAACGAAAAACATATCATGCCCGTCATCCAACTCATTTCATACAGATCTGTACATATGTTTACTGTTTCAAAAAGTCAAAACTAATCGAACACCTGTTATTCTGTTATAACCATATGATAACCATATTTGAGAGTTCATTGCAGCTGTTTATCTGTTCACATTCGCATTCGCATTAGCATCTTCCCATATTGTATATCTCTCTATAAATATATACCTTATGAATGTCTAAACTAAAAACCATTCAAAACCAATAACCATGTGCTCTGCGTCGCAATTGCCAAAGGATTTCAATGCGAGCTTACTAACCCAGTCTCTTCTATCTATCTTCTGCCTTTTCTATCTCTCTTTACTAACATGTAACCCCCGAAAATCGATCCAAAGTTAAACAAGTCGTTCCGCAATCATTATCCCCGCCCGGCACAGTGCCCTGGCAGCAGCAGCACCACCAGCAGATCCAGCAGCAGCCATCCGCCCACAGCATCCACAGCATCCACAGCACCCACACTGGCCCGCCCTCGCCCACCAGCATGTCCTCCGGCTGCTCATCACCGGGATACTCGCCAAGCAGGACCCTGGATCTGTCCGGATCGAGTTCCAGTTTCTCCGATCGCAAGGCAGTGGCCGCCGGTTACACCTACAAGGGTGGACCCGTTCACGAGTGGACCAAGGATCAGGTAAGTCTACTGTTTCTACACAACTAGGGACAAAATAATACTAGGAATATATAAGGTTCAATTATAGTCAAGGGGTTATCATAAATTTTAAAACTTAAAATGCGAAAAATCATATCTTGGTAATGATATATCTTTCAGAAGCAATAAAAAAATACCCTCATTTTTTTATCATAATTATATGTCCAAATAAAATATGACACAAAAAAATTTAAAAACTTTAATTTAAAATATTAAATTTCTGGAACTTAATATCTATTAGTCTTATTAGTCCATTAGTCTTTCATAGTCCCAATTTAACTTAAATAGTTCTGATACCATTTTATGAAATGCAATGACTCCTCCACTTATTTTCCAGGTTGGCCACTGGCTAATGGGCATCGAGTTGGAGCGCTACATCCCCGTCTTCAAGGAGCACAACGTGGAGGGCGGAGCTCTGCTCACGCTGGACTCGAAGGACTTCAAGACTCTGGGCGTGTGCGGCGACGACAAGCATCGGCTGAAGAAGCGGCTGAAGGACCTGAAGGCCAACATCGAGAAGGAGCGCAAGGACATGGAGCGGGAAAGGCGCGAACGGGAGAAGGCCATACGCAAGGCCGAGAAGAAGGCGGCCAAAAAGAAGTAGTTGAATTCTAGTTGATAAGCATAAAAAAAAGTAGCCAAAAACCAAAAGCATACGCAGTATATATTGTAGTCTATATATACATATACATATACATATATATATGCATACACAACACACACGCGCGTATATATAAACATATATGTAATCGGTTATATATTTATATGCATGTAATGATAATATAATTTATTTGTACAACACACACACACACACATCTATTATACATACGTACTACATTTTAACCTATCGAACCTAATGGCAACTAGACGTAATTATTCTAAACGAAAGCAAGGAAAGCAGCAAGTAGAAGGTCAGCGAAGCGTTAGAGTAGCAGTAGATCTCGGTTAGAAGTGACCCCCCCAGAAATCCAGACTCAAACAGGGCCCAAAATCCAACCGATGGCACTCAGACTTCCACGACAAAACAACCGAACTCACAACCAAACGAAGAAGCTAAGTAACTAACACAAAAAGGCGTTGGACTGACTGATTTTTATGATTAATTTAAAAAAAAAAAAAACGAAAACAAAAAGAAAAACAAATAAAAACGAATGGAATTCTTTTTTAAAAGCCAATCAAAACCAAAAAGAACCATTTGAATTGAGAATGCAAACGAATGCGTAGAACACTTAAGGAATTCGCTGAACAGACTTGAACGGTTTTACGGGCTGCTTCAATTAAAATACAGAATATAAAGATAATATTGTAATAACGTTTAAGTTAATTAACGATTTTTTCTAAATATTAACCTGTGTAATTTAATGACTAGCGCATATTCAATAATATTCAATTCTAGATATATATATATATGTGTGTGCAACATTGTATTGTCAAGACATCTATGGAATGTACTGTACTATCCCCCCTAAAATTAATGCTAAAGTATTGTCCTGTATGCTATATGCCTGAAAGTCATTTAAGTACTTAAGTAGAGAAGCTAGAGGAAGTGTGTTTTTTCTGTTACCGAGCGGGCTGTTTGGAAAGTCACCGACTAAGATTTATTATATATCTTAACGTTGGTTACTTTCCAAGCAGTCCGAGCAGCCAAATCAATGCAAAATGTCCACCCAAAAAGAAAAAAAAGAAACCAAGCTTCAAGAGCGATTTCTATTCGTTAGCTAGTATGTCTGTGGAAATGGGCGTGGCTGTACTGTTGTTTTCACTTTGTTTTTACTTTGTATAAATATTTATAGAACCTTTAGAATTTGTATTTCGTATTCTTAGTTTGTTTATATTTACTTTCGTGTACTTGTGTTGTGTACGTAGTTTTATTTACCTTATAATTTCGAAATGTTGCAATAAAACTGCATACATATGCCGGTGTATGTATGATAAACCAAAGGCTCTCGTTCTCTTATCAGAGTATAAATAATATATTCCACTCCCTGAGGATGCATTTCTCCAATATCCCAAATTCCGATGGCCACAACAGTCCAAGCAACTTTGATTTTTCAAGGAAAAACCAAATTTAGCAGATAGTCCTTTTTTGATTACCAATTAGCATATATAATACTTATCAACATACGTATATACGAATACTCTCTTTCTCTCTATCACTCTGTCTATCTATTTGACTTTAAGACCCCGGCCGTGGCCAAGTGTAGCAACTCCATCCGTAATCCGGATGGGGGACATACCATGGATCTGATGGCCGGCAGCGCATAATCACCGCATGTGTCTCACTCGTCTCGTCGCAAGTCCTTAATATAGCTTTTGAAAAGCTCGCCTCTAAACAGTGCCACCAAGAAAAAACAAAACAAAATCAAACCGTTATAACTTACGAAGAATGATAATAAATTAACACCTTAAAAACAATTAACGAACACCAGTAAATTCAGATGCAACACGCGATCGATGACTTCCGCTTCATTTTTTTTTGGGTGTAAACTTAAAAATAAAACCGGATTTCAGATCGCACGCGTGCCGCATCTCAAGGTAAATTGTTATTTTTTTGAAAATGTGTACTTCAGTTAAAGTTTATTTTTGGGTAATTGTTTGTAAGCGTTTTTTACACCGTATTTAATCAATTAAAAAAAAACAAATAACAATCAATCCAAAAAAAACCAGTTTAAAATTCGTAAAATTAAATCAAATTAAAATGATAAAAGTAATTTAGCTGTTGCCCCGAAATTCTAAAAGAGTAGGGGCCCAGTCGCATAACAACACACCAATCAAAAAAAAAAAAAAACAAACGAAATGTAAGACACCTACAGAACACACATTCGTGCCTTTTTCATTGCGAAAAACCGTCCCAACCAGAATTAGCCGAACAGAGGATTGTACGACCATCTAATCGGGTCTCTGCTTACCAACTCTTTGAGCCCCGAAAATCCTCTGTCACGAATACGTTGAAACATTTTGAAGTCCCACAAATGCCTTAAATCAAGAAAATTATATTACCCATTAGATATTCAACTTTACTCAGTTCGCTTGTAGGTTTTGAAACATTTTCGAAATACTTATTTTAGTTATCCGTTTGCAAACAAAGTTGGCTGGATTTTGTGGCTTCGAAAATGGGAGTTTGATGTGAATCCATCGGGGGATTTCAAATAAAACATTTCTATCTTTGAAATATTCCCAAAAATGTTTTTGTGTTTATTGTGTTTTCACATCTCTCAACTTACTTTTTATTTAATTTGGTCTTTTCTTTTATTTCTTCTTATCAGTTTGTTGTTGTATTGTTTATTTAAAATTCAGTTCATATTTATTCTTTGTGTGTATGAAACTGTGTTGCCATAATATTAATACTTTCACACTTTTTGAATCGGAAATTAGGTTACCCTTCCATTAAATTACAAATTACAAATTACAAAAGCAGAATTGGCCAGCGCAAAAAAAAAAATGTATTGTAAAAGTTTATTAAAGAACTAACTACACTAAGCAATTACAGCGACTAGCCAATTAATATTGATGACAAGAACACACTGCAATTAGCTAAACAACAATTAAATTGAAAGTCAAAAATCGCAATCTAAAAACAGTGCTAATAAATATACTCCGAAATAAACCTAATACGAAATGCATTTCTTGTTTACTCAATGGGCTGACAATCTGTGTTATCTGTGTTCAGTAAATCTGTTTTAAAAACAACATCTCTTAATGGGTTTGTTGGACTGGACTGATGTGTCGCAAATTGAATATTGAATACTTCTTAAGAAGAGGCCACCAACAGATACAAAAGTCTTCCACCGAAACATGAATGGATCATTTTTCAGCATTCGTGGGGTTTTTCTTATCATCTGGGAATTTTCCACTCATTTTAGTGGCCTGCATCTTGCGCAGAGGTCAAATTTCAAGACTTCTCTAACTCGTGTTTGGTTTTTCGGGTTTTACATTCTTATTCTCGTTGATCAGGCACTTTTGGTATTGATTTCTTGAAAATTGGTTAGAGTATTTAAAACTAGGTTTTTAATTACCAAGCATTTTTAGTTCTCACACAATCTTGTTTTGATTGAACTGCTTACGTCGATTAATTAAATTGAAAAATACTTTTCCCAACAATGACCTTAGCAACGAAAGGTACTCTATTTTGCTTTGATTTTATATGTACTATCGATTAATTAGTCTAGTCGGGATTTATAGATTTCATCGTGATCGATTTAGCTGTAATTTTCGAAGGGAAGACTATTGAAATTTATTTATTATTTATTTTTAATAATCAGTATGATCTGATTGCAAAATACTTTTCATAACAAAGGCCTTACACTGGTAAAAATAGTAAGTCCAAATATTTTCTACTCAATTTAAATATTTTTCGCTTTGATTTATATACCTTGCGGTTTTTAATTTGTTTAAACATGAAAATATTAAAAAAAATGTCCAAATTGATTTTTTTAAACCATATTTAAATAATATAAAATGCATTTTAGTCATTTTGGAACTATTTTAAAGCTAATATAATCATGTTTTTAAATATACATTGAATTTAATATTTTGTTTAAATATTAATTATACAATTTTAAATTCAATAGCCAAATTTTATTTTTTTAAGTTTACTCTATTTTGGTATGATTTACATACTCATTTCCATTAATTAGTCTAGTGGTGACTTACAATTTTCAACTTAATCCTACTCTTTGTAATTAAAAAAAAAAAAAAAATTCAGTTATTATTTATTTTAATACGTTTTTTTTGCAATTGCTGATACTGATACTGATTGAACTTTTGCGTAATGTCGTAAAACTGTTTACCGATTTCATCGTCATTGCTTCTTAGCTCATGACAATTATTTACCCCCCATGAAGCGATAAGCTATTCCTATTGATGTTGCATTCTTATCATTGTTGATGCTTAATTTCACATCTTAGGCTTGCCGTTTTTTTAAAAATTGGGTTAAGTGACTAAAATCCATTTGCCAATTTCTTATCAGCTGTATGAATGAGTTGCTGGGTGATTCAAAACCCTTTCCACATTACAACAGACATTAATCAACTCGTGTTGACTCTTAGGTGTCTGCCTGAAAACTGATGACCTGTTAAAACTTTCCGACTAGTCGAATTGATAACTAATAACTGATAAGGTCTGCCAAAGGTTAGCGTACGAATTATAGAAAAATTCTCAGCAAGTGGCATGTTTTGAAAAAAACATTTATAAATAGCTTGGCATGATTGTTGTGTTTGGCAAATAATTTGAAAAATTTTAACAAGTCTTTTTTAATTGGGAAATTCAAAGCTGGCACACTGAAAATAGAAAATAATGTTTCTTGCAATCCATTTATTGAAAAAACTCTTAGCATCTCAATTACTGTAGTTCTAAATTTTATAGTATTTTTATTTAAAAGAAAGTCTATTAGAGTACTTCAATATCTCATTGTATTGCATTTTTTTATAAATTCGAATTTGATATTTTACACTTTTCTTGTAGTTTGGTTTATAAATCAAATTAATTCTTGAAATTTCTTCAAATCAGTGTTAAAGAGAACTGATTTGACAAAAATTTTATATTTTTATAATTTTAATATTTGTTATTTTCTATCGAATTTAAAATAGGTTAAAGCCTTAATTTAATACATCTTTTTAAGTTGGTCACCCTTTAATACAAAATTCCAGGTGTTTCTCAAACAGCTTATGAACCCATATCAAAAAGTCCATAAAAAAACTAATCAGTTGAGAATTGCGGAATCATTTATGGTTCTTTTTAACGATCCTTATCGAATGTGTAACTAAAAGAGTTGTTTTTCTCGGCCGGCACATACATAGTTTGTGAGATATTTAAATTCGCTCAATTCAATTAGTTAGGAGCAACGATTCCGGCATACAGCATACGCCACATATGCGCTAAACGATTTTGAATTGAATGCTGAACAATCAGCGTCGGCAGAGAGCGGCGATCTGCGATCTGGATTCCCGAGATTCCGATTCCGAATACCGAATACCGAATTCAGAATTCAGAATCTTTTCCTGAAGCAGCGACGTCGTCGTGCCTCCAGTTTATAAGCGCTCGTCCATTAGTCGGCAGCGTTCACTCAACAATCAGCGCTCGAGCAGGCAACAAACGCAAAGGAGATATACCAATTCAAATAGAGTAAACGTATCATCGAGTTCTGAAACAACAAATTTGTGAAACCTAACGAGATTACAAAAGAAATTCCAGTTGCCACATATCTAAATTAGTTTTGATTCGCAAAAAAAGCAAATAAAACGCGAACCTGCGATTTAAACATAATTTAAAGCGCGAAAGTTTGATTTGCATAACCAGAAGAAGCGCTTCCAAGGCGATTATATAATTGCAGTGTTTATTCATTGATTGAACAAAAGCATATTCATCTGCACAATGACGGGTTACAAGGTGGCTAATGGCAATGGCACCACAAATGGGACCAATGGAAGCACCAATGGAAACACCAATGGACACAAGTCAGCGGAATACATAGCCCAGGAGAATCCCACGTAAGTAGGGGTTAATTTATATAGGGGGTATTATTATTCACACAGAAAAAAACCAATCACAGGTCAACAAAAATTTATGTGGCTTAAAAAAAAGGCCTGGGCAAAAGTTTTAGACTCTTTGGTATAGAAATGAAACTAAAAAGTATTGGTATTATATTATTTAGGATTGATTTAATACTTATCAATACTGTCTTTAGTTTATTTTCAAGACAAAAAAAATTTAACTTTTGGGTGCTCGAAAATAATATGGAACTTCATCAAAACGAGATTTGTGTGGTTTTTTTCTGTGTAGATGGACCTCACGCCAGAGGCTCGTTAAGTACAATCAACTTTAATTGAAACTTCCAATAGTGCCTGGCTTTCGATGCTTTATGGCTTCGCCTTAACCCCACTGCGCCACCTGTCCCTTTTTTCCCCATTCCCCTTAAAAGCTTTTCTGACCCGCTTTTTTGAGGGGCCAAATCGATACGGCCTTGGTTGTCCAGTAGGCCTGGCTAGTAGCTTCAATTTCCTTTTTTTTTTAATAAGTAACCCAGAACAAAACACACGTGTTACGGCCGGCCTACAGGAAATCCAAGTTCAGCGACACCAGCTCCGTCCTAAATTCGCTGCCAAGTGCCTTTGCTTTGGGGCTAAGACCATTTAACAACCCGCAGAATGTGTTCCCGCGACTGCTGCTCCGGACCAGGTGGCTCCAATAAAGTCAACGCTTGTACAAACAAGAAAGGAGCCAAAGCCGGGAATCTCTATACGGAGAAGATCATACCCACTCCACAGAGTCTGCTGTAAGTTTTAAGGCTATTTCCCAGCCAATCTTGGCCTAAACAGTCCCTACCTTTCCTGTCAGTTCTTTTTCCCTCCAAAACCTATCCAAAAACTACAAACCTTGGCTTAAAAATGTGTAACACCAATTGCTGTTCGAATCCCAAAGGCAAAGCTGGCACTAAAACCGCCATCAACGATCCTGGCAAGTGGTCACAAATCATAGCCACTCCAGAAAGTAAGCTGTAAGTTTAATCTATGTTTCCTTTAGCCAGAAACCTAAATCGAATTTCAAATGTCAGAGGTAGATTCTGCCCTTGATCTTTCCCGCTCTCTACTATCTGGAAATGAGCTCAACTTGGATCTTTTAAAATTTAAATTAAGACATTCCAGTATTCCAATCTTATCAATTTTCGTCATTCGGCGCTGGCAAGTCATTAAAATCCCATTCGAAAAATCTTTAATCTGCATACGATTATATGGAGTGGCTCTGGTTGGGTTCATTCCCGTTTACTACACAGGAAATAAAACATGTTTATAACAGATACTTTTGATACTGTATTTTTTTTTGTGTACCAAACCTTTTGCTGATAAAAGGCAAGGTATTATTATGCAAGTTTTTATTGGCACAGTTAATTGGGGAATTGGCCATCGGTGATTGGCTGGGGAAAGCGGGTGTGTTCCCTGATCTTGACACAGGCCTCCACATCGTAATCTTGTCTACAGATACGAGTAATTGGCAAACAGTCCGTCCGATAAAGAACGCGACTAAAAAATGTTGCCGCATTGATTAGTTTCGAAACTTGTTTTCGTTTCGATGGAAACGAAACACAATTTGCTGAATATTGGATGAAGCGGTGGCGAAAATGCCGCGTCGCGTGTTCCAATCGAATTTCCATAAATGTCTGGCTACCGAAAGAGCAATTTATTAATGGCATTATAGTTCCCAATTAATGTAAGTTATGCGTGATTATGGGCGCTCATCTTAATGACGCACGTAATGTTTTCTTTTGAACTGCTTGTTTTTGTTTTCCCCATGTAATATTGATAATACAAAGCGTCATCATCAAAGCTTATCAATTAATCCGTACTGATCCGAAAACAAACACGTGGGGGGTCATCAGAGATCAGTTTTGGTAACAACATCTTAACATTACTCGACTTGCAGTTCAAGTTCGTGCAATTCAGTCTCGAACCAGCTGAATTCTTTATGGCTGTAATAGACCTTAATTGCTGGTTTTAACTTACTCGATTATAGTAACCACATTCTTGTGATTTTCCTGAAATCAACCATAAATGATAGGGGCTCCTTATCTCGCAGTGCTTATATTTCAGCTTCATATGTGTATATCATTTAACTTTTTGGCCTCTACTCAGCAAAACAATTTCTTTGAATAATTACAGCGGGAATGGAAAAATCCTATGCGATCTTACGCCTGAGGAGTTAAGAGCCTTGCGGGTTCTCAACGAAGACACGTTTGTAGACCAATTCCAACGAGTTTTGTTTCTTTGTGTTCAATAGTCATCGAATATATTTGAATATCTGTTTTCATTACAATACAATTGGCAGTGAAAGGAAACTTATTCTCCAAAATCTGAATTTCTTCATTCAATTGGTTGATAATATTTTTAAGTAAATTAATTTCTCTTTGGTTACTCGACTGTTTCTTTTATCATTGATAAAGCAACATATATTTCATATACGCATTGTTCTCCTATCATATCATTGCAAACTGATCTTTCCGAATAGTACTTTTCTGTGTTATCCTTGCCAAAATCTATTTCTATTAAAACATAATTCAACTTGTTGATAGTTTTTTTTGCGCTAAATTAATGTGTGTTATCTCATATTTTCCTTGTAATCGTTAGAAATTGAAGTCACATTTCTCAGATTTATCACTGTTCAAAGTATTATTTTGTGATGTTCTCCTATCATATCATCATCAAACTGATTGGAAAGATATATATTTTGTTTTGATAAAAATGTTATTTGTCTAGTGATATTTTCCCTAGGGAAGCTATATATTTTCCGTCCATTTTGTGTGTTCAATTGGTATCTTCAACTGATGTTGTTCCCCCTGGAAATTCCATTTCTTCAGTATACTGTTTATCATCGTGGCGAGCAGATAAAAAGATCTCTTGCCTGTGTACCATGTACTAAATCATATTTCTTTTTGTGTCTCTCAAGTTACAATCTTTGTTTCAAAAACATATATAACTATTTACCAGATATAAAACTAATTATATGTGTTGACTTACAACAGGTATCCCTATGAGGTCATCGAGGAGATTGCCGATTTTATCACCAAGGGCTCCGGAATGCGCCCCAAGATCGGCATAATTTGCGGTTCTGGGCTGGGTTCTCTGGCCGATATCATTCAGGATCCGAAGATCTTTGAGTACGAGAAGATCCCGAATTTCCCGGTGTCCACAGTGGAGGGCCATGCCGGAAGGCTGGTGGTCGGCACACTCGAGGGCGCAACTGTGATGGCGATGCAGGGCAGGTTCCACTTCTACGAGGGATATCCCTTGGCCAAGTGCTCGATGCCGGTGCGCGTGATGAAGCTTTGTGGAGTGGAGTACCTGATTGCCACGAATGCAGCGGGCGGCATTAATCCGCGTTTCGCGGTGGGCGACATTATGCTGATGCACGACCATGTCAATATGCTGGGATTCGCTGGCAACTCACCGCTTCAGGGACCCAACGATCCGCGTTTCGGACCCCGTTTCCCCGCTCTGGTGAACTCCTACAACAAGGACCTAATCAACAAGGCCATCGAAATTGGCAAGGCCATGGGCATCGAGTCGAACGTCCATGTGGGCGTCTATTCTTGTCTGGGCGGACCCAACTACGAGACCATTGCCGAACTAAAGGCCCTGCGCATGATGGGCGTGGATGCTGTGGGCATGTCCACGGTCCACGAGGTCATCACTGCCCGGCACTGCGACATGAAGGTGTTCGCCTTCAGCCTCATCACCAACAAGTGTGCCACCGAGTACAGCGACAAGAAGGACGAGGAGGCCAACCACGATGAGGTAAGTTAGAGCACGGCACTATTGCAAAAAAGGCAAATTTTTGGATTTAAGGGAAAAACTTTCTGAATTTACTACTTATGCACAAGTTTTTTTTCGGTTTTATTTTTTTTCGCAAGCATTGGTTGTAAAAATACCACCTACAGAAAATCTCTTAAAAATTTTACTTATGTATGTTTTAATTTTTTATTTTAGAATATAATACAAAGCGTTTGATTATAAAGGCATTTTCAGCATTTAAAATTATATTTACAATTTTTCTTCATCATTTTGTATATACATTGATATAAAACCTCTGCATGGATTCACGTAGATTCAAAACTTAAAACTTTTCAGAACACAAAGTACTATATTAATTTTATTAACTATTTGGACAATACAAACATTTGCCAAACAATTTGTTTAAACAAAAATTATAGCATACCCTTAAAGATTTTCATAAGCTTGATTTATATATTTTATATTATTTGCTAAGCTTTTATTCTTATTTGTTTCTTCCAACTTAGGTAATGGCTGTGGCGAAGAACAGGCAGAAGGCCTGCTGCGAACTGGTGGCCCGACTTATCCGGGAAATCCACTCGGCATCCGCTTAGGAACGAGTACATAGCGTTGGATTTTAAATTTAACTGTAGTTAATTCACTAGACTCGCATCTAAGACTCACTTGACACGGATTGTCCCAAAACTTACAGTATAAGCCTAGGGAATAGTTAAACTAAATTGAAATTATGTAAAATAAACTAGAAATACAATGCCAGTTGTTTACGGATTCATTTAAATTCAAAAATGTAGTTTAGAGCGGCCATAACAGATATATATCAAATAAAAAGCCCACAAAAACCAACTTGCGTTTTGGCTTTTTTAGCAAAAAGCTGCGAAATTGATGATACCCCTTATAAAAAATGCTAAAATCTGCGACCTCCAAAATATGAGTTTAAACTGCAGTTTTTTTGGGTAAACAAATGAGTTTAAATTGCAGTTTTTTGATCAAAACTATGGAATATAATGGTTTAATGTTGGAATGCCATACCTCGTTGAATTCGTCATAAAATTTCCAACAAACTGGCATTTACAGCTCAAAAATTTTGGGTTGGATCGAATTTCGAAAAAAATGATGATGGTACCCCCTTATAAAAATTGCTAAAATCTGCGACCCCCAAAAAAATGAGTTTAAATTGCAGTTTTTTGATCAAAACTATGGAATATAATGGTTTAATGTTGGAGTGCCATACCTCGTTGAATTCGTCATAAAATTTCCAACAAACTGGCATTTACAGCTCAAAAATTTTGGGTTGGATCAAATTTCGAAAAAATGATGATCGTACCCCTTATAAAAATTGCTAAAATCTGCAACCCCCAAAAAAATGAGTTTAAATTGCAGTTTTTTGATCAAAACTATGGAATATAATGGTTTAATGTTGGAATGCAGTACCTCGTTGAATTCGTCATAAAATTTCCAACAAACTGGCAAAAAATTTGGGTTGGATCAAATTTCGAAAAAAATGATGAAATCTTATAAAAAATGCTAAAATCTGCGACCTCCAAAATATGAGTTTAAACTGCAGTTTTTTGATCAAAACTATGGAATATAATGGTTTAATGTTGGAATGCCATACCTCGTTGAATTCGTCATAAAATTTCCAACAAACTGGCATTTACAGCTCAAAAATTTTGGGTTGGATCGAATTTCGAAAAAAATGATGATGGTACCCCCTTATAAAAATTGCTAAAATCTGCAACCCCCAAAAAAATGAGTTTAAATTGCAGTTTTTTGATCAAAACTATGGAATATAATGGTTTAATGTTAGAGTGCCATACCTCTTTGAATTCGTGATAAAATTTCCAACAAACTGGCATTTACAGCTCAAAAATTTTGGGTTGGATCAAATTTCGAAAAAAATGATGATGGTACCCCTTATAAAAAATGCTAAAATCTGCGACCTCCAAAATATGAGTTTAAACTGCAGTTTTTTGATCAAAACTATTGAATATAATGGTTTAATGTTGGAATGCAGTACCTCGTTGAATTCGTCATAAAATTTCCAACAAACTGGCAAAAAATTTGGGTTGGATCAAATTTCGAAAAAAATGATGATGGTACCCCTTATAAAAAATGCTAAAATCTGCGACCTCCAAAATATGAGTTTAAACTGCAGTTTTTTGATCAAAACTATGGAATATAATGGTTTAATGTTGGAATGCCATACCTCGTTGAATTCGTCATAAAATTTCCAACAAACTGGCATTTACAGCTCAAAAATTTTGTGTTGGATCGAATTTCGAAAAAAATGATGATGGTACCCCTTATAAAAAATGCTAAAATCTGCGACCTCCAAAATATGAGTTTAAACTGCAGTTTTTTGATCAAAACTATGGAATATAATGGTTTAATGTTGGAATGCCATACCTCGTTGAATTCGTCATAAAATTTCCAACAAACTGGCATTTACAGCTCAAAAATTTTGGGTTGGATCGAATTTCGAAAAAAATGATGATGGTACCCCCTTATAAAAATTGCTAAAATCTGCGACCCCCAAAAAAATGAGTTTAAATTGCAGTTTTTTGATCAAAACTATGGAATATAATGGTTTAATGTTGGAGTGCCATACCTCGTTGAATTCGTCATAAAATTTCCAACAAACTGGCATTTACAGCTCAAAAATTTTGGGTTGGATCAAATTTCGAAAAAAATGATGATCGTACCCCTTATAAAAAATGCTAAAATCTGCGACCTCCAAAATATGAGTTTAAACTGCAGTTTTTTGATCAAAACTATTGAATATAATGGTTTAATGTTGGAATGCAGTACCTCGTTGAATTCGTTTAGAGCGCGGCGCAGATATGTCGGCTTAGAATTAAGCGTTGGTGGTATTTTTTTTTAGCATAAATCAAATTTTAAGTTACATATAAAATTTACTCAAAACCACACTTAAGACACTATTTTTATAAAATAAATCTACATATTTCGATTGTAAAAATATAGGAATACTGTTATTTTTAAAGTTAACTCTTTATTATAGTTTATTAGATAAACACGTAAGTTGCAAAGGGGGCTTAGAGTAAGAATGGGCACCAAACAGATCTTAATACTTACTTGCACACAACGTCCAGTGCTTCTCAAACTGTGCACACAATTGCGCACAACGGCGCCCAAAAGTACACAATAAAATTCGAGTGCTGCCCATTTTCAACTTTCTTTTACTTATAAAATCAAATAAAAGTCAGTGTTTAACCAGACAAATTAAGTCGTTGAGTCATATTTAGTTTCTAGAATATTTTGCTTCGTTAGCTAAAACAAAGATTGTATGAGCGGCAGAACTGTTTTCTTATCACGGAGCAACTACGAGGATAATTGTTGCAGGATCCTGCTGAAAGTGGAACCAGGAATAAATAATTTGCCCAACATAAACATTATCTGCTTCACACAAAAAAATTCAATGATCAAAATTACCAATAAAATAGTAACGATTTCTCAAGCAATGAGTAATTGTTAATTAACTATAAATTAGTAACTCCAAAAGTTTACCATCAAAAATAGCTATTGGGCTACAAACCTGGATTTTGTTTTTGGCCAAAATTTAACCAAATACCCCAAAGAAAAGAAAATATTAACAAAAACTTGATATACAATAAAATGTTATTTAATAAAAATTAAATATAAGCAAAAGTTTTAAACATAATAAAACACAAATACATAGTTTTAAAATTAGGAAAATAAAGCTAGCACTAAAATGATTTAGAAATGAAAACAATTAAATAACGAGAGAGCTCGTTGCGTTTCTTTTTCTTTTTTTTTTTTGGTTTTTGCAGAGATTGAACAAATGCAATTTCGTTAAATCGATATAAAATAAAATAGTAATAAAACAACTCAACTTATTATTATGTACAGGTAAAATCGAAAGCTCCAAGCTACCCGCTATCCGAAACAGCAATCGAATGAAGCGAGTTGAAATTTATTGCCTGGCATCGTGCACTTGTATAATAGTCGTTACATATATAAAGGCTATGTAATGTGTGTAAAATAGAGAGTACATGGGGATATGCGCACGTGTGTGTATATGCTATACTATATAGGCCTATAGAATACGAAAGTTCAGATCTGTCTGTGTCTGTGTTTTGTGTCCGTTGCAAAAGCATCGCCGCCTACAAAAAGTGCTTAGAAAAGTTATTGGTTTGTCGTTTGTGTTTGTGTTTAGTTGTGATTGTGATTGCGATTGCGATTGTAATTGTGTTCAAGTCTATAAGGTTGCATTGTGCCTCTCTCCTAGAAGAGCCCACGCTCCTTCTTCAGCTTGGTCTGCTTCCAGATGGGCAGCTGCTCGAATTCCGCTCGACTGCAGCCCAGTGCCGCCTGAAAGTCCTCGGCATTGAGGTAGACCTCCAGTCGCGTGGGCTCCACGCCCTCCGGCAAGGGACGCGCCTTCAGCACCTCCAGCGGATACTCGGTTTGTGTCATTTGTGCCAGCATTGTGCCGATGCCCATGGGCTCATCCGTTCGTCCATCCTGCAGGCGGGGTTAGCACATAAATATTAAATACTGTTTATGGAATAGGGATACTCAGCTTACCTCCTCGTTGATTTCCCTCACATCCGAACGGTCTGTCCAGTCGGGAAACAGTGCCTTGAAGGCCAGTGGCTCCAGGCCGGCCCACACCACCTGACCCTTGACCCCATGGAAGGGCTCCTCGCTCTCGCCGTGCTTGGCACGCCAATAGTCGACGGCTGTCTCGAGGGCAGCGCGTCTCTCTGAGATCCAGCGATTTACTCCAGCCCGGTTGTCGTTCGTGGGACTGCTTCGCTCATCGGTATTTACTAAAATAACAATACAAATATTAAATAAATATTAACTTTTTTAAATTAAACTACATATCTATCCTTCTTAAAAAAAATAGTAAATATATTTAGAAAAATAGTATTTTCCAAACTAACTAACTTTGAACTTTTTCTCTCAATATTAACATTTTTGAATGCCGTGAATTTAAAACTACTAAACCGATCTTTCTTAAGTTTAACAGTCTTTATTAATACATAAAAGAGTAGTCTTTAGACCCTCGATTATTTTTCGATATAAATGGGTTTTTAAGCAAAATAAAACAAATTATTATTGTCAGCCATTTCATTAAAAATTCATGTTTTTATAAATCTTTCGATTAATGCTTAGTTTATAGTGTTATTTAACAAAATCTAATGAGATTTTTTGTTTCTGATGATCCGAAATTTAGCAAGGAAATTTAATAAGCTTTAATAATTTTTATCTTAATGGTTGAATTAAAAAATTTAATTAAAAAAATACTAAATAGATTTATTTAATGTTTATACTTTTGGGTAACATATTGATCGTTTAAAAGAGTTTAGTAGCTTTAGTTGACAAAAATGTTATTAAAACAGTATATTTTTAAGCGCTGCAGTTGGGGGTAACTCCTTTGAACAACATGGGTACTCACTTTTAACATCCTCCAGGGGCCACCAGCCCATCCAGAGCCACAGCTCGTCGCCATCGTCCAGCAGGAAGATGGTGGGCTGCCTGGCATTGTACAGCTGGGCCTGACTGAAAGGATACGGACTGTGCAGATCCCGGCAGCGCAGGGGATCGCTCAGTTCGAGGGCCTGGAACACGCCCTGGGTGCTGGAGAAGTTGAAGAGCCTGATTTGGTAATCGAATGACTTGGCGGTGGCTTTGAGGAGGCTGCCATAGGCATCTCTATGCTCATTCAAGCCCAAAGCCCTTTGGCATTGCTCCTCCTCGGCACCTTCCTCTGTCTCACTCAAGCTGGCCGATTCGCTGGTGAAGAGATCCTTTGGCAACTGCTTGACCAGATCCTGGGCCGCCTCCAGGGCCACCTTTCGTGTGTGCGGGGCACTCTTCGATCCATGCCAGACCATGACACTGCCCTGACTGCCATGTACTAGCAGCATGGAGCTGCGGGATCGCAACTGACTGGACTGACAGGCCACCTCCTTCAGGAGCACCTCCTCCTGGACATTGCCCTGCAGTTGGTAGAGTCGCCACTGGCTGCGTCGCTCCAGGCACTGCTCCTTGCGGCCACGATGTTGCCACATTTGCCGGAACAGGCGCACGAAGGCCGTGCACTCATCGCCCTGCGAAACACGCATCTGGGCGCCCTTCTCCTTGTCCAGCTCCACGGTGAGCAGAGCAGCGGCTCCCTTCTCGTTGGCACTCGAGTCCTGGCCCTGCCACGTGAAGTACACACACCTGTCGCGTCCCACTGTGCTCCTGTTCGACACCTTGCCACTCAGCTCGCGCACCGTGACCGAAATCTGGTAGATCCAGCGCACTATATAGCTCTCGGCGGAGTAGAAGTGGCCATAGTCCTCCCGCTTGGTCTCCGCATCAAAGTTGAACTCGTGTATTTGCCACTTGTCCGTGGATTTGGTTATCACGTCAAAGTGCCGCATGGTGTCCGTGTCGTAGTAGAAGTTGCCACGGCCCAGATTGGCCTGCTCCAGCACCAGATTTGGTTCCTGGTAGGGTTCGCCCTTGTGCAAAGCGCTGCCATTTAGGGAGCGCACTATGTGCACACCATTGGAGAGGTAGTCCTTCTCCAGATCCTCCCTCTCCAGCTCCGGCCAGTCGCTGAACTTCTCCTTGAACAGCACCGTCTCCATGTTCTGGGTGATCTTGCCCAGCACACACCATTCCGGACGTTGGGGGCATCTCTTGGCATACTTGTTGTGCTCACGACGACCCACTATGGCTGCATAGTTGAGGGGATTTAGGTAGCAGTCGGCATAGTCCGCTGAATTCTCGGCTGAAAAGTGCTCCTGGGCCAGCCGCATGGCTGCTCGTTTGGCATCCGAAGAGGCATTCTTGCCGTTCCACACATACAACTCGCTCCCGAAATCGAAAACGAGCACCTTTCGCGTGTCCAGCATGTCCACCTTGGGTATGCAGCCCCAGAACTTGTCGAGCGGCACGAGGGCCTCGTCCTGGTACTCGTAGATCTTGTTGGTCTCAATCAGACTGCTCTCGAACACATCATCCTCATCCGCATGACCGCATTCGGCTATCTCCGCCGTGTCATCCTCTTTTTTACCGAGCAACTGCCAAAATTGACGCCACTGGCGCTCCTTCAAGTACTTGCCATCGGTGAGGATCACCTCCTGGGTTGCAGTGCAACCCAGATCCTTGTTCTCCACAATGGCAGCGCAGATCTTCTTGCTGCGCGAGATCTCAATTACGTTGGCAAAGGATCCCACGTAGCGGAAAAGCTGGGATCCGGCTATCAGGATGAAGCAATCACCTCGATTCAGGGAGGTGTAAACAGGGTCCACCAATCGCGTCTGGACATGGGTCCTTCCCTTGACATGGAGCAGCATCAGCGGCTTGTGCGGCAGCCACATCTGCTGCAGGGGAATCGCCGAGGAGCGCAGCGCCACCGACTTGAAGTCCTCAATGGAGGCCAGTCCGGCAATGGCCTCGGCAGCCAGGTTGGCATTATGGCCATCTGTTCATGGACAGAGCGATTTTAAGATGGGTTTTGGGGCTAAGAGCTGAGTGATTCACTTACATGACTCCAGCTTGAGGCGTCGCAGTTCCCGCTCGGCCATTCCAGTCCGCATTTCCGTGTACTCCGAGCTGATGTCCTCGCGGGCAGCCAAACTCTTGAGAGGATTGCGTGCGGCCCGACGTCCCTTGGGTCCCTGCACGTGTCGCTTGCTCACTAGGCTGTATTTAAAGGGGAAATTTCACTTAGAATTTTGAATAAATTATCGCTTTTTGCTTGAATTTAGCCAAATTGATATGGTTATACGTATTATTATAAGTGAAGCATTAAGAAAAGTAAATAAGCAAAGTATGGCTTTGTAAAAAAATGTTCTACAAAATATAGTTTTGTAACTTTTAATAGAAATACATATCATTTATCATCATTTTATCATAATATTTAATTTAAATATGCAACATTAAATTTTTACTTTCTTTTACTGTTCAATTTGGTAACTCAAAGTTATAATAACTTTAATTTAATCTAATTTTTGGATAATTTTGACAGAGAAAACCTCTTTAAATGTTGTGTTGTTAAGTCTAAACTATAGATGTTCGATTTCTGAAGCATAACTCACCGCTCTGTGGGCTTGATGTCGTCGAAGGCGCTGATCTCCAGCTGCACACCTCCGGCCTCGGCCTCCTCCTTCTTGGGCTTCGAGGCGAAGAAGTTCTCGAAGGTCTCCTTGTCGTCCAGCCGCGGCACCTGGATCCTGGCGCCCACGTTGGTGGGAGCAGCGGCACTCTTGTTGTTGGCCAGCTCCTTGTTCTGCTTGGCATTCTGCGGTGCACTGCGTTCGCCATCCGAAGAGTCCGAGCTGCTGCTGTTGGAGCGACTCAGGCTGGCAGGCACCTCCTCCTCGGGATTCACACTCAAGCTGCGCAGTGCAGTGCTCTTGTTGCTGTTACCCGAAGTGACCATCATGGAGGGGCTCTTGGCCAGACCGAGTTGCGGCTGATTGGCACTGCGCACCTCCAGCATGGGACACTTTTTGGCCGCATCATTGGCAGAGCGTTCGAATTGCAGCTCCACGGGGGACTGGGCCTTCTTTTGCAGTCGGCCAGCGACTGTGAACTTCTTGGCATCGGTTTGCTCTGTTTTGGAATTAAAAAACAGGTTAATAGAGTTTCTTTATAGTTACTTCTAAGCAGTGTTGGGGTGTACCTAGATATTGTTTAATGGTACGTGCCTAGGTACCATTTATTGAAACCCTATACCTTACCTAGTTAAAATAAATGTGAGGCTACATTTTACCTTACCTAGGTAAAGATTTGTATTTATCCTTATAATCTGATATGTTAGCTAATTAAGTACTTAAATATTTGTACCTATTTTCCTTTTAAATTATCTTGATACCACTATGCAATAAAAATGCTAATAAACTTAAATAAATTAATTCCACCGTATATGCAAGATAAAATAATAATTGGCAAGGCGTATACACAATATTACACATTGTTTTTAAGATGATTAAATTAAAAAATACATGTTTTACAAAATTTGTTTTTCTTTTACCCTTCATTGTACCTTTTACATAACCTAGATACTTGATACCTTTTACCTTAGCTAGGTACTTATTTCTCAAATACCTTGTACCTTACCTAGAGCCAAAAAAGTAGTACCTTTCCCAACACTGCTTCTTAGCTATAAGAAACACTTACCTATGCGCTGCTTCCAGTTCTCCGAGTTGCACTTGAGTTTGCTCAAACGATCGGAGACCTTGCCGCCCTCCAAGCTGCTGGGTATGGAAATCAGTGGTGAGGGGGGCAGTGGCTTGTCCGACAGCGAGTGGGCCAAAGATAGCGATTCCTGAAATCCAAAACAATCCATGATTACATTCACTTTCCAAAATTTTGAACCTCCCACACTGGAGCTCTAAGCACCAAATATGAACGCGTTTATAAAGAAATTAACACACATTTTAATAGCCTCGAATAAATGTATATGGTCAACAATCATGGGTCGTTCCCAATTTTGGATGACTCACTGGGCCGCTTCTGTTTATCAACTTAGTTTTTGGTTTGAGGAAAAAGCTTTTACCAGTTTTACTTTTTCCATGTTTGTTTATTATTAGCGATTTACGATTTTCCAGCTGCTGCGTCGCATTTCCCTCGGGCACACCTCGAAATCTGAAGGTCTTTAGTGCCAAGTACGCTCCATTAGTGACCCGCTATGGATGCGCAAATGTAAACGTAAATGTAGCGGCAACTCGAGGGGTTTTTTTATTTTGCTGCCAGCCAGCACAATGCCAATCTGGCGACTGCCAATCGCCGCCTGGCTAATTGCGCACCTTCGAAGCTCTAGAGCTCTAAAGAGCTATAGACCCTCCAACTGGATGGAGAGCTCGACTGGGAGACAGTGCGAGTCATGCGATTAGATAAGACTGCACTGCGGAATATCAGTCTATAGTGTGCTAAACGACCAGAACATTACCTCTTTGGGTAGTTTCTTAGGCGGATAATTTCTTGTTAGATACAGAAACTTAAGGATCCTGCTCCATATTTTAATAAAACCATGTCTTATTAAGTAAAGTATTTGAAAATCATGATTTAAAGGCTTGAATCAAATTAGGAGTATATATATTTTAAATCAAATTAAAAATGATCAAAAGAAAAAAAACTTTTATTGAATTTATGTTTTTATAGTAAAAACTGTTATTAATTAAACCATGGTTTGGAAAATACAAATGGGATAATGCTTTAATATTTAGCAAAATTTAAGGCTTGAAAATTATGTAATTATAAACACTAAATTCAATGATTTAAAATGAAAAACTGACTAAACACAGTTCTTAAATATTCTCATCTTTTTAATTCAGAATAATTTGTAATGTCATTTTATTTAGATATGTAAACATTAATTGCTCATATATTTTTCTGTATATCTTTATTATCCTCAATAACGAAGCAGTCTTAAGTCAACAATCTGCTTCCGCAATTTGTCGTATTATTTTTTTTCTCCTGGTGTTTTGCACTCTCAGTTCCGCGGAAAGATAAGAAAACGAATAGCTTTTCGATATGAGAAGCGGTGTTTGGCGTTCAGCGTTCAGAATTTATTCCCCTGCACTCGACTTGTATTGTTTTGTTTTGTTTACATTGCTAAACTGTCAGTGCAAAGCAAAAACTTAATTAATGTGTTTACATGGGCTTCAAGCATAAGTAAGTTATATGGCGTGACTAGAATACCGATAAAATGTTTTGACAAACCAATCTTATCTGACCGAAAAACTGTGTCTTTGGGTGAAGTTCATAATCGTGTTATCTTGTTTAAATTGTAAGGTATTTATTTTTGATCTGATTAAGCAATGTTTAGGAATGTTTGTGCGCCCCTGTCTTTTGCAACTTACTTGTAAATATTATGGTTAATACTGCACGGCCATTAATTATGATAATTTAAAGCTCTCATTGTCAATCACAGCACTCGAAAAGACAAAAACAGTGGCCAACCTTGAGGACCTGCTCAACTCTTTTCTCAAAACGAGTATATTTCTCTTGAATTTCAGCATGTGTCATACATAGGCGCCTATCAATGAATACGAAACTCTCGGAATGAATCATCCCATGTATAAATTGATAAAACACACACAAAAACTGGGTAAAAGCAGGGGACTAATGAACAAGGAAAACAAAGCGCGACAACAATTTGATTAACCGATGATGTGATGTGAAACTGAAAGGTAGAACTAAAAAAATCAATAACCAAAAGGTATGACGCCACAGAATCTCAACCAATAAAGGCCAATTTATAATATTTTATTGACTTTTGTTCTGCTCATTTGCGTTGCCTTATTGACATTTGGTTTTTGCATGCGCTAAAGGCTTATATATATATGTATATATATACAGAAAATGTTAAAATTAGCATATGAACATATTCATTTTTCTTTTTTTGGCGGGAATTTGGCAACCGGTAAAACTAAAGCAAGCCAAGCGAAAACCAATTAGGCTAAATTACTATAGAGCTTGCCATTTACTATTTGGTCAAGTTCAATGCGTAGGCATGTGGCTTTTATTTTGCAGCTCAATTGTGGATAAATAAACTGGAATTTTTCCACGGAACTGATGTATCCATTGAGAGCTACTTAATCTATAGTTCCATGGGTGCGGCCGCATAAACTCGAGAGATTGATAAGGTCGCCAGCTGTGGACAGATTTATTATTCTTTCTTGTTTTTTATTGCACTGGCCACTTGTTGGTTCAATGTTCTGGGGAGATCTCCCCAGAGACCTTTCACCGCAGGGTATCTATATCTTTCAAGCTCTGCCCTTACTTTTAATCCGCTTCAGTGCCTTCGTTCGCCATCGAATCAATCAAAAATCAAAAGCCACAACAACGAAATTACCTCACATCACAATCATTTTGCGGTGAATGCTTTTCCCATCTCCCAATTTATAATTAATGATCACTCCAACGTTTTGATTTGCGTCAATTTATTTGACAAATTGTGTTTCGGGCTAAAGACACGCTTCGATGGTTAAAGATACTTGCCAAACTGCAAAATATATTAGCTAGCAGCTGCTATACCAGGATAAAAGTGCAAAAAATAAACAACACTAGTCGCAAAAAAAAAAAAAAAACACCGAGAATAAAAGCTAGTGATTCCGAAAGGATTCAATCTGTAGGTTTTAAATTGAGAACAATAATTTATTTATTTAAATGTTTTATCTTTAACGAATGGTTTATAAAAATAGTAGTTTATAAAACAAAGTTGTTAAATTATGATTTCTTGATTTGTGTGAAAGACCTTTTAATTATTTATTAAGTTAATGAGAAAAAAAACTATTGAAAGTTCCTGATTGTTTCCTATTTATTTACTTTTTTTTAAGATTTACCAAACTGCAAAATAAATAAGCTACCTGCTGTATTCCCAGTGTAAAGGTGCAAATATTAGATTATCAACAATGATCTAAAATTGTTCGAATGCTTCTAGCAGCTGTGCATACGAAAATATATAATGTTTTCTCTTTATTTCGAATATAATTAGGTTTTGCATTTGATACAATTTGTATTTATAACATATATAGTACATTTAACAATAAGTAATACTAACATACAAATTCATATTTATTTATGGGTAATACATACAAATTCATATTCATTTAAAGTTAATACATACAATCAGCATATTAGTTTAGCAGTACTGTTCTCTACTTATTAATGAGATGCTTGGCAATTACAATTTGGGCTTTAGGATTCTGGATTCCGGACAATACAAACTTGTATACAATTAACAAGGTTTTCTAAGTACAGGCAGCGATTGCCAATTGCGACTTGAGTTTTAGACTTTCTACTTTGATTTGCTTAAGCTTTCGCCGATTAAACAAACAAAATTGAGGAAAACTGAGGCTTGGCAAGGTCTCCTGTGGCTTTGTTTCCTGAACAAAAGCGCCTGGACTGGAAGTCTTCCATCTGAGCCCTTGGGGATGGCACTTTAAAATGACCCTGGATGGGATGGGTGGGTGGGTGGGTATCCCTCATCTGGTCTCGTTGATGTAGGTGGTCTCCTCCACACAGGAGGCCTGCTCTTCGTTGAGGAGATCGGTGATGGAGTAGGCGGACAGGGGACGCGAGAACCTCCTTTCGGAGAGTATATCATCGATGCAGGTCACCGGCGACAAGCAATGGCAATCGGGACAATCTTCTGGCTCCTCGGCACTGCGTGCAATCACCTGGAAGATGTCCTCCATGCTGGTTTGCAGGCACAGCGAAGGTGGTTTCCTCAGTAGCGCTGGCGAAGCTGATTGCTCCGGTTCCGGGGAACTGGAGAGGGGTGATGCCGTGGAGGGCGTGGCTGAAGTACCCCGGGTACGCCTCGAAACTGGCACTGCCATGGGCTCCCAATCGCTGTGGGATGCGGGCGACTTCTTGGGCGACTCCTCCTCCAGTTCCTGCCACAAGTGCATCGAGTGCATGGCCTGTTCAATGTGCTGCAGTTGGGCCGTCAGCTGACTTGCAATGCTAGTTTTTCGCGAGGCACAGGGCGTTGAGTCCCTGGATCCCTCAGTGCTGGCTCCAAACATGCGGATCTCGGGCAGGGTAACAGGTGCCACTCGGCTCACCTGTCGCGTGTTGCCCGTCTCGAACATTCGCGCAATCTTAGTGACATTGCTGCGCTTCACAGGCGCCGGACTTGGCGGAGGAAGGTGCTCCACCTTGGGCGCCACCACCTGCTGTCGCTTGGGATAAACCCGGGTCACCGGCTTCCTGGCCTTGGGCTTCACCTTGTCCTGGGCCAGCACATGGCAGCACAGCTCGGGACCGTAGCAGCGATGGTAGTTGTTCCTATTCGCCTCGTAGTCCGCATCCGCAAAGCGTTTCATCCGGATCAGCGACTTGGGCAGCAGGGTGATCAGCACGTAGGTGACCATTACATAGGGTAGCCATTCCGCATACTCCCAGGCCCTTTCCAGGTAATCCATGTAGTCCGTCATGCTTCTCGCCTGGTGGTTATTATCACAAATTGCAATTCGATTTCGTTGGCGGGTGTTTATTAACTTTTACCTCGCTTTTCCGCTGATATCGTTTTTGCACTTCTTTTTTTTCTACTTTTTGTTGTATTTTTGTCGATAAGGGCAAAGTTTTATTATGACATCACATCACTCTACTAGGGGATTGGTTAAATAATGGAATTTTTTATTTATTTTTGTATGGCTGGCATTCACTTTTTTTGTAGAACGGAACACATTGCAAAATATTTACTTAAGCTTTTTATTTATTTAGCAATGCCTTCCGTGACTGGTATAATTCTTTTGTTCATGGTTTTGCAATTATTGAATAAAAACATTAATATCACTGTGTTTAAGGACTGGTTTCTCGGTTTATTTAATTTATAAGTGTCTTGTCAGCAGTTCAAAATGTTTCAAAACTCTATAATTGAATTTGCAATACTTTTTTTTTTAATTTTTTGATTGATTTTACTTTAAGTTATTATAAAATGGTTTGTTTCTCAAACAAAAATATTAACAGGCATCGACATTTATTTTGAACAGTTTTCGGAGATATTTTCAATTAATATAAAACATCAAATTTGTTTTCTAATAATTGTTTGTTTTTGAAATTCAAGTTTATGAATATTTTGTTTGCCTGTTTTTTAACTTATTTAGAACAAAAGCATTGCAAAATCACATCCTAAGTTTTTATGTATTTATATTACATTTTTAATTTGGCTATTTATTTTTTTAAACTTATTTGCAATAAAAGCATTGCAAAATCAAATCCAAAGTTTGTAGATTATTCATTTCTCTTTTATTATTTTTCGTAACTGTTATTAAGGATTAAAGTCCCACACACCTTTCGTCAAGTGGTGTCCGATGCGTTTTACACTTTGCGCTGCTGTTTGCATTAATATTTATATTTGAAGTTGTGCGTATTTTTATCTTGGCCCGACATCTGATATCCCGATCTTTGTTTATTTATTTAGTTTGCAATTTTTTTTCGTTTTATGAGTTTCGGTTTGGGTTTGTTTCTTTTATTTCTTTGACGCTTTTTGTATTCCGTTGCGCCTCGCGGTCGATCTCTTCTCTTTGGCTCCTCGTTTTAAACTTAAATGCCGACGACATTCAACGATACTGCTCCCCAAAAACTGAACGAAAGTTGCGCGCGTCGCTCTGGGAGCTCTGCCTCTCTCTCTCTTGGGGGAGCCCTGCTCTCTCTTTCGTCAAGTTTGTTGGCCTCTCGCTTCCTCGTTTGGGGAGATGAGAGGTCTGCTCTGCTGCACTTGCGCAGAAATTCTGTTTGGCAATCTGATGATGCTGTTATGCTGTTGTTGTTGTTGTTGTGTTGTTTTTTTTTTTTTTTTTGTTCTGGTTGGGTCTCCTTGGGTCAAGTAGTTTGTTATGTCTGATAAGAACGTGCGGGTGCGAGGGAGCCAGCAAATGGGCAACTTTCATTTCAAAGAACTTCTTTCAGCGAAAACCTTAACCCTTAAGGATTCATGACCTTTTTTATGAGCTCCTATTTTAGTTTGATTCAATTTCATTTCAAAAAAGGTATAATAATTTTGCTCGTTATCACTTGTTATCTGTTCCAAAAGTATTTAAATTCCCGTTTAAATGTGCAAATATTTGCAGGGGTTTCCACATTTCCACTGCTTTTGTAGCATCTTCATTATTATTTGCCAGGTTTATCAAAAGACGCGACATATGCAAACAGCTCACGTAGGTAAATAAACCAAATATAGAACAGCACGAATCAACAACAAAAACAACAACAACAAATCCTCGGGTGCCCTTTTTGTGATTTATGGGAATTAATTGCTAATTGTTGATTTTGCGCCCCTCAGAAATTTGTGTCATCTTTCTGTAAATTTTCCCCATCTAATATAGACATTTGCAGTGCATTGTAGATGTGCAAACAGTTGCGCCTTTTAGATTTCAAAACAGACTTTGCACTGAATAAAGTGAAATGCTTATTTCTGAACAATTTGCGTGGGTTCTGGTTCTGTATCTGTTTCTGTGTCTGTTTCCGAATCTCGTCTACACGATTTGTAATGGCCAAAGAGATTGCGGTCACATCGGAGATTTCATTTCAAAGATTTTATTTTGACAGTCGCACTTTGAGAAAGTTTCGTTTTGCAGGTGGGTGGGTACGTATTTTAATGTATTTCTCAATGTGCGCTGCGCACACAAGTGGAATAGCCAGCCTTGAAACACTTTGATATTTTTAAATTGTTTTTTCATAATTTCATATTTCACTTTTTCACTTTTTGCAGCCAGCCATAAATAATAAATACAAACAAAAAACAACACCTTCATTTGCTTCCTGCTGCATTCGACAGTTTATGCAACTCAGGAAACCACTTCGCATTACTTTTTATGCAACTCGCAACGGGCCTCTAGTTTTATTTTTAGTTTGCCGCTTATCAATTTTAATGTCAATTGAAACCGGCAGCGAGTAATAATGCATACTAATAACAAAAGCAACAAAGTCAGGCGAATTGGATCGCAAGTTCGAAAAATCAAAGTCGAATTGCCGCTGCGAATTGTGAATTGCGAACCGTTCGCTTTCAAGTCGCGATTCATACTGGCTCGTGTAAATGTTTGAAACTGACGAAGTCGGGATCGGATTCTTCCAAAAGCCGGGTCTTCGAGGCAAAACGAAGCTCCAATGACGAAGGCAGAGCTGTGGAGACGTCAGCCAAGGAGGCTTTTTAAATTAAACTAAGCGTAATAAACAAGATCATTGTGGGCATACCAGAAAAAAAGGGGAAAAATAAAAGAGGGAGGCTTCCAAAAGTAGGCTTAAAAGGTTTACAAACTTTGGAAGACCATAGACAACTCGGTCTTTAATAATTTATTATTTTAAAAGTGTTGGTTTTTTTCCTAAAATATATTTATTTTAATTTTTTATTTTAATCTAGTATTTATTTATTTTTTATTTAGTTTTGTTTCCAAACTTTATCTAAACCAGGTTTTTATTTGTTCCAAAAAATATATTGATCATCAATGCATACACAAATTTTCTGTACACTTTCGTGGCTGGAATGTGACCACATAAAAAGGGACAACGAAATTTTTGGGCTGGGTCCACATCTGCCCAAGCTGAGATGAATCACCAGCGGAGCAGGCAGCCAAGAAGGCCTAACGCGAAATTAAATTTAGTCGAACTAAAAATAAACCCAATGCAAGTTGAACAGCATGAAAGACAATGATGTAATTGTCTAAAAATTCAATAGCACTTATGGTAGAGCAGCTAAGACAAAAAAAAAGGTAGAAGAACGAGAGCAATGAAACCAACCTTATCTCGAAAAGTAATGAATCACACACAGAAGCAATAAAAGTAATCAGCAATAAGCAGGCATTCTTGCAGATACAGATGCAGATATAAATACAGAAATAAGCGGAGAAAACAGAGGGCAATAGTTGATTTTAGAAGTTTATAAACAGCATGGTCTACTGCTGCTTTTTTTCTGCTCTTTTTGTCACAATGCTGAGAGGGCATGGACTAATGAACAAGTACAGCAGCAACATCCATTGCACACCAGCAGCAGCAACAGCAACAGCGACAGCAACATCCACACACAGCAACAATGATAATGAAGTAGACAGAGGAGCCCTACAAAAAACTGCAAGTATATCAAATTTACAAAACAATTTACAACAGCATGAGGCGAGGCCTGCAGCTGGAAGATGAGCACGCTCAAGATCGAGACAGAGATGAAATGCTATGGACCAGACCAGAAGTAGCCCCTAAACAACAACTTCTGCCAGTTAGAAGCAGTCCAAAAGCAACCTTCGTTCGCCTCCTTCTCTTGTTTTAGTATCTCTATTTTTTCACTTTGTAATTGTTGATACATTCAGGAAAAATTTGTAATAGATTCAAGGAATTAGCTAAAACAGGTGAACTAGTGAACATTTTCTTTGCTTTATGAAAATTAAAAGGGTGAAGATTTAAAAAAAAATAATATATTTAAAAGGAGAGCCACTAATGTAAATACTAAATAATTTATATATTTTTATAAGAATATATATTTTCCAGTTTATAGATCATCAAGCAATGTTTTCAAGAAGAAACCACCTTGATTCTAATATGCATATAAAATAAATTGATAAATTGAGCCATCTAATTTTATATAGCTTTATTTTTTTTCACTGTGTGATCTTGCGGCTGCAGTTGCTGTAGCTTTTTCAGATGTTGCTGCTGCCACGGCCCACAAGGCAAGTTTAGAAAATTATGGCAAAATGGAAGTTGGCAGCCGCCTCGAAATTGTGAAGGCAGCAGGAGCGGAGAAAACCCCAACTCTGCTTGTATATTTGTGGCTGCCCTGCTGGAGCTGAAACTCCTGAACGCTGGATGCCTGGGATGCTGCATTCTGCACTCTGGTGTGCCCTTCATTATTATGCGCATTTTCATTTGCTCCGCTCGTTTGCTCAACGACTGCCTTTCTGCGATCGTGGCCTGATAAATTGTGCTAAATTACGAAAGATTTCTTTCTGCTGTGACACACGCTCTGGGACTGCGTCAAAGAGTTGGGCAGACTAATTGCTCATACGCCACCTGGGATGGCTACCAAACAGCGCATGAATATGAGAGTGTCTCGGGTCCATCAGAGCATCAGAGCAGAGAAAACAGCAAACAGAAATTCATCTTAATTATTAATAAATTGTACTATAATGGGCGTCAAGTGTCGTGTGGCGCATGAGGGTAGAACTTTATGGGGAATTAGGGGCTTTAATGCACACTCCCTCCCTGAAGATATATCTTTTCTAAATATATGCTCTTTTCATTGACCTTGTCCCACTGTTCTGTCACCATGAACACAGAAAACTAATTTTTATATGCCTTAATGATGATCATAAATTGGTCCTAAAATAATAGACTATTTATATTACATTAAATATATGAAATAATATATTTTATTTTGTATTTTCAAAACGTTAGAACTTTCTCTAACGCACACATCTATATTTTTTAAACATTTTTGTAAGTACACCCAAGTAAGATTTCTAAAATTACATGACTATTAAATAACAACAACACTAATATTAACATAAATGTTATTTTTCTTACTCTTTAATTTGTTATTTTAAAAATAAAATAGACAAATTTTTCTCAGTGCACCAAACAACGAAGAAAATTGGAAACAAACTAAAACAGTAACAGCTGTAGCAACAATAACAATAACAAAAGCGACAGCACTTGAAAACTCATTTGGCCTGAGAGTGGGGAACATAATATGTATTTTGTTTGGTGTGTGGGTCAGAAGATCGCTCTGACACGATTTCCTCACAATTTCTTTCTCTCCCAAACAAACGATGGCTTGTAAATATACTATATATATATATATATATATATAAGGAGGCGGAGTCCCAGTAATTAAGTATGATTACTTCGTGGATTACTTGGGAGGGAGGTCGCGAAAAGGGCGGTCGAAGTCTACCCGCATAATTATGGACCAGAAGTAACCGTTTAATAGGGAGAGAGTTCACTAAACTTCATGTTTCGCCAAAAGCTAGCTGCAGCTTTGAAACGATCACCTAATTGACAGTCTAAACGAAATCGGATTTTAAGTCAAGTCTTGATACGAGCAAAGTGCCCATGTCCATAAATAATATGCCAAAAGCAGGCGAAACTTTTCGGTGGCATAGTGAAAACAAAAAACTTGCCAAACTTGCACTTCCCCCAAAAAAAAATAAAGTGAAAAAGTTCGTTTTCATTTGGAAAGCAATTCAAAGAAAACGTATTTAATAGATGGCGCTGTGCACAATTGCTGCCTAAAAGTATGCAACATTTTCTGTGTACAAGACATGTATACTTGACGTATACGTAATGTACACGAAATTTGGCAAGTAAATTAGAAAAATTGTTTTGCAAATTACTAAAACTGCGCAGAAAATTGGGACACATATTTAATAAAATGATAAATTAAGATAAAACTTATATATTAATTTTTAAAAACTAATTATTATTTTACCGATAAATTTCATATAATAATACAATGTAAATTAGCTAAGGTCGAATATAAATAGAGTTTAGAGCAAATTTATAAAAAATAAAGAAAATAATATTATTATTGATGTTTTTGCATACATTTTTACAAATTGTGTATGTAGCAAAACCAGAACAACACCCTATCAGTTTTTATAACAATAAATGCAAATATTTCTGAATCCTTGATTTGATTTCTTATCAAATTTCTGTGTAGACTTTTCAACAACCATGGTCCAATTTACAGGTATTCAGGCTTAGTAATCAAACAGCGGTCTTATCTGGATTATGAGCCATTCTGATTAATCATAAGGAAAATATATAGGCAAATTCAAACAAAACAAGGCACCTTATCCGGTTGCGTCACTATTCAAACAACACAGCCTGGGATGTAAGTCACACACAAATCATCCAGATACCACCCGCAAACCACAGCGATTGGTATAACTTGCACTTCTCGCATTATTATGTCATTGCCGTCAGGTTTAACGCCCAGTTGGCATTGCACGAAAACAACGGGCACGGGCACGGGCACAATGCACAAATTGCAGAGAAATGTGTGCTGTGCAACGTTCATAAACAAAACGATTAGCAATAAGGAAACCATTTTCACGCAATTGCGATCGAGATCGGATCCGTTGCGGTCCACGGACGATCAAATGCGTTGCAGCTTAACCTAACCTATCTGCCAGATGCGATAAACCAGATATAAGATACAAGATACAAGTGCACACAAGAGTACTCACGTTTACAAAGTTTTCACGGTGCACATCGTCGACTTCATCGCGCTTCGACGATATGCGCTTCTTCCAATCGTCCTCGCCACTTTTGTGCAGCGCCGCCAATCGCTCCGCAATGGAGCCGGTCTTCGCGATCACCAGAGACCGCTGATCGGGGCCCATGACCTGGATAAATGGATAATGGATAATGTTTAATGGATTATGGATGGTTGGGATGAGCTCACACGTGAATCGATTTAATTGACACTGGGTCAAGATACAATTGAGGGGGGTTCTGCATTGAAAAGTTCGCAGTGGAACTTAATATTGGTTTGAATCGGTTTATTATTGTTTTTGATAGTATTTATAAAACTAAAAGAAAACCTATCCAAGTTTATTTAAATTGAATATAAGAATTTAATAAAAAAAAGAATGACCCATGCTATAGTATGTATTTAAAACTAATTATGCTGTTGACATTATTTGGTACAAAATATAAATATAAAAATAAGTGGGAAATTTTACAGTTTCTCTCTCAAAACACTCTTATTAAAATCATATTTTTTAGATGTGTCCCTTAAAAAATTCCCATTTATGTCGACTCTTTTACATTATTTAAAATATACATATATATATAAATATTTATATTATTAAATAAATACATTATGCACTTCTGTGGCATTCTTTTATCATGCATAATAAATTGGAACCTAATTATTTATGTTATGTTACGGAATTGTAACAAAAAGTCAGAGCAATCTCATAAAAATCCCTTTAATGTTAGCTACTTAAAATTTATATAATATATAATGCACTTCTGTGGCATTCTTTAATATTGCTAAGTAAACCGAACCCTTCTATAATCTTTATCTTTTACAGATAAAATCATTACTCACCTCGGTTGCTGATCGTTGGACGCCTTGAAGAAACTGTGGCAAAGCCGTTGGATTCGAAGAGTCTCCCGACGCTTCTGCCTGCTCCTGATCCTTTTGCTTATCTGGCGACTCCTTCGAGGAGGATGTGCTACTGGTGCTGCTGCTGGTGGTGGTTGGTTCCTCCTCCTTGGCTACATGACGCAACTTCACGAAGCCGCCGCCAATGGGAAGGGGTGGTAGCTGGGGGCCAAGGCCGACGGGTGCTGCTGCGATGCCCGAGTGACTTTTGCTTTTCGCAACGAGATTGCTGCAAGGGGAAAACCAATGATACGAGAGCTGTTAAAAGTGTGCATAAAGTGTGGCAATTAAGGTGCGTATCCAGCAGATACAAGATTAAATACATCGAGTGCAGATACGAGTACATGCAGGAATTACTCGTACTCGTACTCGTACTCTTACTGAAAACGTGCGTTTTCCTCAATGGTCGGCTTGCAGCAGCCCAATCCGTTCCCATTTCCACCGATCTTAATAGGAAACTCGTGACATGGCATTTTCCTGGCCACTAATGAGCGAGGCGAAGCTGCCTTATTTGTACGTCTCCCCTTCGAATAGAATGCACAATGCACAGGAAGCCATCGACAGAGTCGGCCTTTTATTTCTGCTCAGATTTTTTGCTTTTTCGCCATTTTGCCATTTTGCCATTTTGCTCGTCCCCCGTCAAAAAAGCAAAGCCAACTTTCTCCTTTAATAGGAGACCAGACCATCCATGGCCATTTATTAGGCGCTGGGCAGCGTTTTTCCTCATAGATGGCTATGGAATTTTCTTCTGCAAATGGTCGCCGGATTGGTTATTGTTATTATGGCTGGGTCTCAGTTTTATTGCCCGTCAGCTGTTGATGTTAACAAACCGCGGGCGGTTAATGAGACAAGTTGATTGCTTGGCACGGGGGATTATCCTCTAAGCTATTGAGTTTCCAAGTATCAACTAATATTTAAAAATATTTCGGACCATGGAAATTGTTTGGGGAAAATTATGTTGCATTAATCATTAAACTGTTCTTGGTACTAGTAATAGATTAGTATATACGAAAGCTTATGTTTTTCTACGAAAGCTTATGTTTTGTTTATTGAATCAGTTTAAAGAAATTCCTTTTTTTCTTTACTTGTATTAAGTCATTACAACTAAAAAAAAAAGTATACTTTTATTTTTAATAAATTTATTTCATTAACTAAACTTTTATAGTTTTAAGATATTACAAAAAACACCCAGATTTAAATAAGTTTTTGTATGGAAAATTATAATTTTGTTTTTAAGTTGAAGTTTTATTTATCTTTATGAAAAAGACATTAAATTCAATGTGAACTCATAAAAAAACTCTTAAATTCACAATAAGTATATTAAATAATATGGGCTCTAACCAATTCTATACGCTCAATTATTCCATGATCACTCTTTGCTTGGTGAAAATGGCTAGCATTCCGCTACAATCATTTGATCTATTGCCTAGCGTTATTTTCCCGCACATTCCATTCATCACTTGCATTGATCAAAAGCGAGGCTTTGTCTCAGCAAAACAAGATTCCATCTGTATCAAATCAAAGCTGCCTTGTATATTGGCAGTCTTTTTCTTTTTTGTTGTTGTAAGCGGCACCGTTAAGAACGACTCGAAGATTTTTCATAAACTTCTGTCTGATCGACCACTTATTAGTCACCGGACATGTTTCGGTACATTACGATTTCTGGATGCTGAGCGCCTTGAGATAAAAGTGTATATATCTCGCAGCGTGAGTCAAAAATCGGGTGGAAAAATAAAAAACAAACGAAATGGGACCGGCATTTATATATGTCACGGCATTAAAAAAAACCGCTAAGCGATAACTTGTTTGAATTTTTATTCGGCAATGGCAATGTAAATGGAAAAACGAAGCGCACTCACATTTGGTAAATCACAGCACGTGTTTTTGTTTTTTGTTTCTTGTTTTATAGTTTTTAGTCGAAGAGGCACAGGAAAAGCGAACTGCACGCGACGAGCGAACAAAGACGAATGAGCAGGCAACCTAGACTGAGTCTCAAAAGATACATTACTACCTATGTGTGTACCCATCTGAATCTCAATCCCGGTGAAGCTCGACCAGCACCTGCCCACCTTCGAAGGCAGGTAAACAAACGGCCAAACTGCTGACAGCTAAATTGCATATTAATTTGGAAAATCTTCAACAGACCCGCGCGCGACAGGCAAAATTGTTTACCAGGTGCTGGGTTTTCAGACCTCGTCTACCTAAGACATCGCTCACTTTGTCAACTGAGTGCTGATCGCATTTAAATCTGTTCAAGAATAGCATAACAACTATATAAACGGAGTGTTAACACCCTAAGTGTAAGTAAGTGTGAGAAAAACAATATACAATCTGAAGTTATTACTAAAAAAAAACTGACTGAATAAATAGTTATAGGGGTTGGTAAGTAACATTATAATAAACAAGAGATAGTCATGGATTTCCTGATCATTTTTTAATTCTGTTCTATAAAAACTAAATAAAGATAAAAAAATACTATAGAGAGTTTACGAATATAATTAGTTATTTCTATAAAATTTGGTAAGTCATCTTAAATTTCGTCATCAAAATTTATTCTAATTAAAGGTAGCACAAAAACTGCACCTACTTAAAAGATAATAACTTATACATCTCTAAAATCAAACCGCTAAATCGAACTAAAATCAAAGTCAAACTCGAATTCAATCACCATGCATAACCACATGGAAAATGGTATTGCCAAAGTTCAGAGTTTAGCCACAACTGCTGAAACGTGAAATCAAAGTAAAAGCTTGGCTAATGGAATAATGGCAAAAATTGCAGCCGTTTTTGGAGTGAGAGGGATATCTGTGGGCAGGGGTTCAGAGGTCAGAGGGCAGACACGCGAATGGCTCCTCCTGGGACTTCTGGACTTCTCTAGTTTCCCAGTCAACGACGATAGTTTTAATGCAGTAATTGCCCTTTGGAAAGCGTTTAGCAAGCAATTAGTTTGAGTGCCAAACTCCTGGGTGCGGTCTATGGCTAAAAGAAACACACCCAGAAATGCCAAGAAAAGGAAACCAAAAACCAAAAGCCACCTTTATTTTCTAAGACTGACAGCTGAGTTTGAAGACGCTTTTACTGTATATAATTAGAAGCCATTCCAAGGATCGTTGATCATTTATTTTTACTCACTCGCGTTTTGTATTTGAATTACCCAGTGAGGTAATTAAAATTTCTTTTCTTCTTTATTTTTTAGCAAAAAGTGAATGCAAACCGAGACCGAGAGTGATCACGCGATCAGTTTGGCAATGCGGCAGCGCTTTATGGGGACTTAATGATATAACAAAGTGAATTGTTTTATAAACTATTTGGCGCGGCATAAATAATTGCACGCCATCAAACTAAAGCTTTATGAGGCCCCCACACGACATCGCCACTAAATGAGTTGTAAACTCTCAAATGCACTCAAGGTGTTGAAAATTTATTCCAAAATATATAAATTATGTGAAGAACACTTGCTGCACTCGCATCATCTCTCTTTGGCATTGACTCTATGTCAAGTGCTCGGTGCGAGACTCAAAAGCAATAATAAATCATCGGCCCTGGCAACGGTTTGAGCGGTTTTCAACAAGGCTACAGCCGCAGCTGAGGCTAAATAAGTAAAAATAATAATATCTCGCAGCTAATAATACTAAAACATGATATACTTCCAACAGAAGCATCCAGACTTGATGGCAAACCGCAAATAAATATCAGGCAAATAAAATCAGCCAGATCATCTGGCAGCACTCAGCAAAATATGTATGAATTTTAGATCTAAAATATAGTTAACGAAAATATTAAAGACATTGCAATTTAAAACAAATATTTGGCAAACTAATCGAAATCGAATTGAATATTGAATCTAATCAACCATTTTTAATAAATTAATAAATCTTGTATCATTTCATCAAATAAATTAAAATATTAAAAGAAATAACTGGTAGATATAAACAATAATTATGTATTTTCTGCATTGTAATTACATAAAATGTGAAAAAAAAGCTAGGATATGTGATAACACTTTTACGGCCAACTCTTTTTTGCAAGTGCAGCCACATGAAACTCAGGTGAATTGTTGGTAATGTATCGCGTCATATAAATCACCAGGTAAGCAGAAATTGACTTATGCAATGAATTATAGCTGAAAGCGAATGGGATTCGCAAAAACTCACAAGAGCAGCAAATTTTGGAGCTCAAAAAAGAGTGACGATTACACACGAAGGCGCCAAAAGCAAGTTGACTGGAGCAATGAAAGGTAATGAAGATTCCGCACAATGAACGGATAACTCACAGATCTCAAAGATCTCAGAGATCCCAGTTTCAAGTTCGCCATGGCTTGACTTTCCCACGCCGCAGTTTACCCGCTTTTAAAGTCGGAGGAGGAGAGCAGTTGAAGGCGGCGGTAATGATACGAAATTACAACGTCAACATGGGCTTACAGCTTTTTCGCTTTTTGTTTGGCTCTTTTGCCATTGACCATTCGTCATTTCATTAAGTTTAAAAATAGTTGCCAACTCTTGGGGCTTTTGTTTTCAGTTCAACCCAGTCAAAATTTTGCTTAATTGTTAAAGATACAACTTCACCTCAAGTTCAAGGTGTCGCGTCTTTTTGGCTGCTTTGCGAAAATGAAATTTGGCAATGAGTAACTTAAGAAACACAGAAAGTGGCTTTAGTTTTAGTTTAGTTTAGAGATCCACAATTTTAAAACATTATATTTCTATAAATATTTATAAATATATATTAATTAATATTTATATAAAGGAATATTTAAGAAAAGAAGGTATTTTTTTTGTATTATTACTGTAAATTAAAACTCAAAGTCTTAAGAACTTAGTAATATTAACTTTCTGGGGTTAAGCCTGGCAACATTTATCTCAGCAACTTAGTTGCTACACTTTCACAATCAGCTGACTTTTGTGTGTTTCCACGAGCAGGCGCAGTATCCCAGACACGTGCTGTCAGCAGCACCAACCCTCCAGTGAGTAGCCCCTCTCCATGCAGCACCAACACCCACACCCACACCAACACCCATCCCATTCGGGGATTCCCAGACATGTTATTCTTTCGGTTCTTCGGTTTGCCGGGGTAACACCGAAAATGCGTCAAAACAAAACCCCAGCTCTTTGTTCGATGTCAATGGCCATGGATGTAGATGATGATGATGGGGTGGTAATTCTGGGGGAGATTGGGTGGTTTTTTCGGGAGTTTGGGGAGCTTCTACTAGATGACTCTGTGTTTTGACTGCAGCGGAAGCAGGAAACATGCGTTTTTTGGACAAGCTAAACAAAGGAGTGTATGCACGAATGCCACTTAAAGCTGGTTAAGATCTGGATGAAGCTATATATATATAATCCAAAAGGGAGTGGTTAAATCTTCTGTATTTTCCGCCTGTGGTTGTACTACGTGCCTGTCACGGATTTTCCCTCGTTTCGCCGATGGGCGTGCACTTATTGATTGAGTTTTCCTATATTTTCGCCCCAACACCGGGACCCGCATAATTACCTACATTACTTCACCATGAAATTCTTCCGCTTTCTGCTTCAATTTCCTTGGGAATAACGTGAGTCGACGTTTTTTAGCTGCTCTACAATTGGGCCGACAGCATTTGCTTTTCTTTCTGCTTATATCTGGTATCTTTTCTAGAAGATATATATTTCTATATATATATATGTTGTGTGACGCTCCCATTTACCGTTCTGCTGGCGTCAGAGGAACAGCGTCATCGTCATGGAAGAAGGTAAACTTCTTTCGGGCTTTCGACGTTTTGATAACTTGTTTTGGTTTGGGTTTCTGGCCAGGCCCATGAAGAACATGTGCGGATGTCATCCAAGTGCCTTAATTGACCGTCAAGTGAATGTACTTGCTACGACTGACTATCTCCGGTGTGTTGTGTGTTATGGTGAGTTGTCTCCATAGGGCACCCTCATCCCAAGTTTCCTACTTCAACTCCAATGAACTCTGCCGCCAAGTTCAACGAGTTAACCGGGAACAACGGCAACCAGAACTACGCGCACAAATAGTAGTCCATTCAACCGGGGACCTCGTTACACTCAGAAATATAAGCTTCTATAAATAAAAAAAAGACTAAAAAATCAACAGATAAAGAACATAAGCGATAGTTTTATGAAATTTAAAAATTTGGCTAATTTGTCTATAAACTTTTTTTATTTTTCAGAAATTTTTAAATTGTGAACTTAATGTTTAATTTTGTATATTTACGGATAATACTTAGTTTGTACTCCGTTTGGTATAGGAGAAAAGTAAAATTTCTGAAATTTCACAGTTTTAATATTTGTTATTATTTTTAGAGTGCTTGATTTTCTGAGTGTAGTCTCGAGGTCTGGTCTCGTGTCTTGTCGCCTCGCTCCGATTGTCACAGCTGTTTTTTTTTTCTGGCGGGGAAGGTGGCATGGAAATAAAGGGCTTGGACTGAACTGAAACTGGTGGCTTGTCAAGTGTCTTGTTCTGAAGATCATCGGAAGATGCTACTGTTTCCTGGGTACCTTCGCGGAATAGTTTTTTTCGAGGGTTTGATCTGGCGCATTAATTCGCCTTTTAATTACCAAGACATTGTTGCAATGAAAAGCTGGCTTATAGTTGATTGCTAGTTTACAATGCATTTTGCCCCGCCATTTGGAAATGATTGCTTTGAATTCAAAGCTAAGTAATTGCTGCTCGACGAGGCACAAGTAAATTAATTCCTAAACTGAACCGCATGTTAATTAGTTAGAAATATACTATAAGTACAGTAAACAATGGAAACTATGACGTGCTTTAAAAAAGAGAACGTATTTTTTACGATGGGTTTTTATTAATTTAAATTGTCAAGTTGTTAATAATTGTAATTGCTTTGTATTTTAAAGTTACCCAGCCTTTAGCGCACATTAAAACGTATAGTAAACGATCTACTAATCTCAAAACAAAACCGCCAGTTAGCCAGCAACCATGTCATTTGTTTCACTCCACTGACTGTCTACTGTATGTACATTTTACACTTTCAATATCAGCACTTGCTTATTCGGCATGGTCACTTCGACTATCTGGCAGAACGAAAAGCTTCGTTTAAAATGCGATCCGCATGCCGCCAGTTGCAGCACTCGAACTCATAATCAAAATAAAACTCATATGTTTCAACTAAAACCAGTTCCATTGAGAGCAATTCGCTGAGAGGGAGAGAATCGTAATTCTACAAAGACAATATATACATATATATATAGTTTTAAAAACTGAAATTGCGCTTGGCTGGTCAAGCGGCCGGTTATCAACAGTCGCCCCAAACAGTTGATCTACAAAAGCGACGGCGTCAACAACGCAAAAAAGTGAAACCAGCTAAAATCAAAATTGTATTCTAAACTCATCCGAAGCTGATCCCCTGGCTTTAATCTCCGCTGTGAGGTCATTGTCATTAACAGTTGAAAAAATATGTTGCTGACCCTGATAGCTGGCGTTCTGATCTTGCTTTTCACCTGGGACTTTGTACGAAAACGAAAAAGAGTTGATGTTTTCGAAAAGTCTCAGATCCCAGGACCCATTTCGATTCCCATCCTGGGCTGTGGCCTTCAGGCCTTGCATTTGGGAGCAGAGAGTAAGTTCTACTCAAGGAATTAATATCATCTTAATTTAAGAAACAAACCATACTTTTCAAATCGAAATATTTCAACTTTTATGGCATTTTAAGGAAGGATTTTATTTACCAAAAAGTTTAAACCTTAAAACACATTCTTTAAACAGAGAAAATCTAACAACAAATCAATTTCAGATATAATACCCTGGGTGGGCGAAAAGTTTGAAGAATATGGCAAGACTTTTCGCTTTTGGATCCTAGGAGAATCGCTGATCTACACAAAGGATCTGAAGTATTTCGAGACCATCTTGGCCAGTACTACCCTGCTGGAAAAGGGTCAACTCTACCAATATCTAAGACCCTTTCTCAACGATGGTCTACTCGTTAGCACGGGTAGAAAGTGGCATGCGAGGAGAAAGATTTTCACCCATGCCTTTCACTTCAAGGTCCTTGAACACTATGTGGAGATCATGGATCGGAATAGTGGGATCATGGTGGAGAAACTGAGGAAGGTGGCCGATGGTAAAACAGCGCTGGACATGCTAAAGTATGTCTCCTTGGCAGCTCTTGATGTGATAACAGGTTAGTCGAGACTCTTGCTAAATTATAAACTTTTATAATGGCAATTTAAGTGAATATGATTCTTTACTTGACTTTTAAGCTCATTTCCGCACGCTTTCTTAGAGTGTTTATTCAATGTTATTTTAATTTTAATTTATTTAATAGACTTATTTCAGGAAAGTCATTTGTTTAAAACGTGGTTAAAGAAAGAAATTATCTTACACTGTCTTTATCTTTAACTGTTTGTCGTTTTATATTAAAGCAAATATGAATAGAACATAAAAAAATTATTTTAGCATAGAACATTTTAATTAATCGGTAAGGAACTGACTTAATTGTAATTTATTGTTCACATGAGCTATAACTAAAGTTTTCTTGTGTGTGTATTTTCCATAAAATTAAAAAACATTGGAGAGATACGAGGCCCTAGCTTTGCTTTTCTTAAAATAGACACAATAACAGCTCAATTAAAAAAGTCAATATGACGTATTGTTTACACAAATTAAAATTCTGCGGCACTGTGGACTAATTGCTTTTTCTAATTATTTATCAAGAAATAAATATGTCATAATAATATAGGTTTGTAATATAATTGGAACTAAAAAAGTTATAAGAACATGTGTTTGTTATTTAAGAACCGCAGCTTCAACCGTACTTTGCTAAATATTGATTTATTAAACTATTTTACAGAGGCCGCCATGGGTGTCCAGGTGAATGCCCAGAATGACCCCGATTTCCCGTACATCAAGGCGCTCAAGAAGTGAGTTCAAATGGGTATTATAATAAATGTTTTCTTTAAACTCACTGCCACTTTTTCATATAGTGTGGTCTATATCCAACCGGATCGCATGTTCAAGTTATCGCAACGCTACGACTGGCTCTTTCCGCTGGTGGCACCTTTTCTACACAGGCGACTCTTGAACGAGATTCGCGTCATGCACGAATTCACCGACAAGGTCATTCGCGAGCGACGGGAAACTGTGGAGCGGGCGAAGGCGAACGGCACCTACCGCCCACTAAGTAAATGCACTGAATCAGCAGCAGGAAGTCATATATAATAACTCCCAACACTAATCTTTTGCAGGTCTGGGCGATGCCGAAATTGGTAGCAAATCTCAGATGGCTTTGCTGGACATCCTACTCCAGTCGACTATTAACAACCAGCCGTTAAACGATGCAGATATTCGCGAGGAGGTGGATACCTTCATGTTCGAGGGCGATGACACCACCAGTAGTGGTGTTTCCCATGCCCTTTATGCCATTGCCAGGCACCCGAAAGTTCAAGAGCGTATCCACGAGGAATGTCTTTCAGTTTTAGGCCAAGATCCCTCTGCTCCTGTTACCCAATCGCAGCTTAATGATCTGAAATATCTGGAATGCGTTATTAAGGAGACAATGCGGCTATATCCTCCAGTTCCAGCAGTTGGTAGATACACCCACAAGGAGCTGCAGATTGGCAACAAGACCATTCCGGCCAATACGAGTGTGTATCTAGTTCTGTACTTCGCCCATCGAGATGCGGACTACTTTGCTGACCCTCACAGCTTTAAGCCAGAAAGATTTTTGGATGGTGAGGGAGAATCCCATGAGACCTTCGCCTATCTGCCTTTTAGTGCCGGACCCAAGAACTGCATTGGCCAAAAGTTTGCCATTCTGGAGATGAAGGCTCTGATCAGCAAAGTCATTAGATACTACGAATTGCTTCCCCTTGGCGAGGATGTTAAGCCAATGTTAAACTTCATTCTGCGTTCAACTTCGGGCATTAATGTGGGTCTTAGGCCCAGGAAGTCATTATAATACTGAAGGCACTCATTTTGTAAGGTTTCGGTTAAAGGTAACTGGGATATTCGTGATGTAGCAGCATGTAAGAAATTATTATCTAATCCTTTAAGCACCAAAAACCTGTTGTTCATTACCGAAATAAAGACTATTTTGTTACAAAGTTATGTGTTTTTTTTTTAATTGTATCTAATCAATATCAAAATAAAGACTATTTTTTTGGAAACTTACATTGTGTACACTATTATGCACAGGAAATTCTTACTAAAAGGAATCACTTTGTTCATTTTCCTAAGATTTCTAATCATAAAGTGTGTTTAGGGATTGTGATTGCATTTACTTAATAACTCTGTGGTGAAAACATGTTGATCATTTATAAATAAACTGCTTACTCATCCAACTCCTATTACAACCCCTTAAACGCATTGCGACTCACACAGCTTTAGCCACAAAGATTGTATCAATATTTGCGATGATTATAAAATTAGACCCCCAAACAAAAGGTATTTGAACAGCGAATGAGCGTGGCGCGCCATAAAAAAATCCCGCGTTTATCAACGTAAAATACTGTATTTACCTTGGGCCAATATTAACCAGCTACTTAGAAAGTGTTCACACCGTCGAAAAGAGCTACTCCTTCAGCGTCATATAAAATATGAAAGGTAATAATTAACTCAAAATTCCTAGTCTTATGTTTCTTAAATTAGTTAACTAAAAAAAGAGAATGCATTTCGCGGAAGCAGTAAATCTTAGGTGATCCCAATTCAATCATGCCCAGCAGCCTGGTGTTTAACTAAGCTTTATCATTGGCCAAAAGATAATGCGCCAGGGCAATAGAAAAGTTTCGCAAAACAGATAAGAGCATCGCGAAAGGAAATCACATATCAGTCTTATCAACTCGCAACTGTCAGCCGCCTTCGAAAATGCTTATAAAAGATGTCGCCATCGCAGGGAGTGCGTCAAAAGAGTTTCTGTCTTGGGATCTGGTGAATATCAACTGCAATGTGCCTTGTGAAAATACTAGCCTTTCTGTCCGTGATCGGTTTAGTGGTTCTGTCCTCCGCCGAAGGAATCAGTAGACCCTTGCCTCCTTATGTGGGTCTGCCCACCCAGGATGGCCTCACCCGGTTGTTCCTCAATTCGCGAGTGACGCATCGTGATCCCCTCGCCTCGGTGGCTTGTTTCGGCGGTTATATTGGCGAATCCAACCTGATCGCGGAACAGTACAGTGCCAACTACAGTAGTTGCGCCAAGGCGGCCCAGAACTCTAGGAAAGGCATTGACTCTGACTTCCTGGCCACGCGCAGGACCATCAGGCTCTCCTCCGAGAGGGTGTGCCAGGAGCTCAGCGTTTGCAACAGGATCGATAACACCCTCGATTCCTTCAACTGCCATGCCGCTGTGGTGAGTTTTGTTCTACAAAATCTGGGATACAAGCTATAACTAAAGACCTATCTTAATTTGATTAAAGTTTAATTTAATTTGGATAATTTGTAATGTGAATTAAAAAACAAAATAATTCCTACACTTTGAGTCAGTTAAATATTCTTAAACATTCTAATCAAAACTAACAGAAAAACTAAATAATAAAAAAGTAAAATAATCGTAGCACATTGAGGTATTGATATTTATATATTTGAATATTGCAGATTCATTAAAGTAAATCTTGTTCATAAAATATAAATAAATAAATATACTATTATTATATATTTATACTATTAATGTTTGTTTATTTATTTATTATTATTTCGTCAACGGCAATTTATTTAATATTTCTTAAAATTATACAATAAGTTTGTAAAGTTATTTATAGTTCATTATTTATTCAAGTTACATTTAATATGCTAATTAACACAGAAAAGTAACAAATATTTTAATATTTTGTTTAGTTATAGTCCTAAATCTTAAATTGATTTTTTTAAGCCTTTTAAGGCAGCCTTAATTTATTCAAATAACAATAACTTGATGGTATTGTTGCAAAGATAGTATGCTGTAAATTGATTTCCGTAAAATCTCGTAAAAGTTTTGATCTCTCTAACAATCCCAATCATTTCAGGGCTCCAATAACACGGTCTCCACATATAGCATTTCGGGAAATGCCTCAGAATCTGCTAGTTTGCTGCAGGAAAGATACCGCGTAGTGGATCTGCAGCACGATCAATGTTGCCACAAGGCGGAGCGCAACTACGTGGAGTCCACGGCCAAGAACTACAACCACCTGCAGGCCTGTTTGGATGGCCGGGCTCGGCCGAAGCCCATGCCCAAGCCCAGGCCCAGCACCACCTCCACGACCTCCACAACCACCACCACGACGACGACCACGGAGGCGCCCACCCAACCACCAACCACCACTGAAGCCCCTTTAAACTTGGACGATCAGTTCAAGCAGCTTTTAAATTTGTTAAACTAATGCCCACTAAAGTGTACAATTTTTTTAAGAAAAAGATACGAAATTAAATAAAGGGCAGTCCTTGGCAAAACAATCCTTGGGCAAACATTTGCACAACTTGAAATTCAACCCTCTGGCAAATGAGTTAACCCTGCCAAAAGCGGTTGAAGGATTGAATTTCGCAAATGGCAAAGGAAAAAAAATACGAAGAATTAGCAAAATATTTAGACAGGCAAAGGGAAGTCCTGCCAATTTGCTTATGTCAGTCAAAAAACATTAAAAAGCAGGGAAAAGTACAGATGTCAAAAAAATAATAATGAATAAAAATAATATATATATTTATATATACATATACAAATATACATATTTAGCCATTTGCTAGTTCATCTAGATGAATTGTTCCATTTGTTATTTCATATTTTAAAACCCATCAAACATCTCTCGCTCGCTTTTAAATGGCCATATAGGAGTATTAGATCATGATTAATGAGTTCGAAAAGAAAGATTTCCAAAAACCAGCCCGAGGCTCTTCCGTTTTCGACACCTCAAGACGGAAACGCTTTGATTAATGATCCGGTTATAAAGAAATTATTTGAGCCAATAATAAGCAAAATGCGGAATAATTCAACAAGATCTTTAGATGGCAGAGAGATATAGACAAAGGCCAAATTATTATGCCATTTATGGCAATGAAAATCAAAGTGGAAGAGCCCACAGAGCAGGCCAAACTGGAGAATGGCCATAAGCCATTGAAGCTGGCCGAAACCCCAGCCTCTTTTTTCCTCTCAGTCAAAAGAACACTTTTGGCTTTTATGGCTTTCGGGTATTTGTTTTTGTTGCTTCTTTCCCTTTTAAGTCGATGGCCAAGTCGGCTTTTCTCTGTGAATGTCTCCGCCTTATGAGGGCCCAAGAAAAAAAAACCAACAAAAAAGAACGAGATTCAGGGGAAAACAAAGACATAGGCCATAGAAACACCTGTTGGCCGCAGAGCAAGTGGCTCATTTATTAGCACAATTGGCGTGGCATTCGACGCTGGTTCTTTTTATGGAAAGACTAGCTGGCTAGAACTAGAAGGAGCGAGTAGTATGCCACTTATGTGTAATTCTCGGAATGCGATTACGTCAATCTGCGATGCGTTTTATTGCAGACAAACGGGGAGTGGCTTGGCTGATTTCTAATTTATTTTTGCAGCGAAACTAATTAAAATGCAACTTGTAGTTGGGTGTTTACGACGTGGGCTCTGACGATTGCAGGTGAAAATTGCCAGGGAATGTGAATGGGGAGTGCTGATTATGCTGAGGTGATAAAGATTGCAATTTATAAGCAGTAAATTGTGCACAGCCAAGAAACCTCTCTTCAATTGCCCAGTTAATTAATTTTTGCACTCCATAAAAACTTAATTGATTTGAACAAAACTCCAGTCATTACTCAACTGGCTTTCATCTGATATGCTTGATGTTGAAATGTGTGGAATTAATCACCTACTCAGAGCACTATTCCTAACCCACATCCATCGGCACATTTTATGCGCTTCATTGAGCCTCCAGCTGAGACTCTGGGTCTAAGCCACTCAAGCATGACGAAAACTATACAAAAAAAACTTTAAAAAAATAAACAAAAATCTGAGGCTTGTCAACGTTATGCATAACCAAACGAAACGAGTTTTCCTCTGCCGAAAACGTGAACTTTTCATTTTCATTGGGGCAAACACTCAGACAGAAAATTGGGGAAATGTGTTAATGCAATGTGAATGAGCGAGAGCTCCAGTGAAAAATGCTCAATAAATATTTGCAAATGTTTTGCATAAATAAATGAAAATTGCTTATGCCAAAACGAAGCAGACTGACAGCCTGGCCAATTATGGCAAAAGTTGCAAGTGCGATGGCGGCATCGTTGTCACCAAAAACAAAAGCCAAGAAAAATGTTGCAGCCGATAATTGAGGCAACGAATTGACTATATCCTGTTAAAGTTACGGATAGTATAAGAGATAAAAAAGCAAAAGCTCAAACAATAAAAGGAAAACAAAAATCAAATCATTTAATTCTTAATCGTCATGGAAATATCGATATCTATAAATTAAAACCAATAACTTTTAAGATCTATAAATATTCGAATAACTTTAATTTATCCTTAAAGCTTAAATATTTTAATGTGATCATTAACTTAATACTATTCATACCCAAATAGTGAAAGGAAAAAAAAGTTATTAACATTTATAGATATCTTTTTTACTGATTTTAAATCATTCAGTTTTTCTTTCTAAACAAAGGTATCTTGAATAAATAATATTAACTCATTACCTTTCAAATATCTTTTTAAACCTACAAACATTTGCCAATAATTTTTTTCTCAATAACTTTTAATTATTCTTAAATGTTTATTGTGGTTAATAACTGGCTATTGCCTTTAATAACCTTTATTGTCGTAACAAATTTTTTATAGATTTAAAAGCAATAAGCCAGTAACAACTATATTTATAATATACAAATTTAAAATCATATTTTAGGCTTTGTCTTAATTGACATTGGAATGTCTTTAAATTAGAGTATCTTTTATTATGCATTATTTTGAAATAAGTTTTTAAATGCTATAATCACCATAACTTTTATGTATCCTTAAATATCTACTCTTTTGTGTGACTTATTAACTGAGCATACCCTTAGTACCAATACGTTCATAGGGTATTTAACCAACTGTACGTAAAACTAGTTTGCCTGGAGCAGATTTAAGAAAAAAAAAACCAACAACTGAAAGCGCAGAAAAGGAAATCGTCGCCCGTCGTCATCGAAGTTGTTGCTGTTTGGTGCCTTTTAAGGCTTTTTGGCGTGTTGCGCATGCGCCGTGTATGCTATCAATTTCAGCTCGTACACTCGGATGTATGGGTGATTGTATCTATGTGTCGGTGTATTCGGGTCATTCGCATTTTCACATTTTAAGGCGTAAGTTGTTTTTGGTTTTGCATGTTGATTTTCTTAAGATTTCTGCCTTGCAGTCGCAACCGCAGCCTGCACTTGCTGCCTTTGCTGCCTTTTTTGCTGCTGCAAGTTGCAACTTTTACTGTCAGTGAACAGAAGAGGGACCACGCCCCCTTCACCTCCTGTCTCGGCCAAGTTTATGGAGCCGCCTGTTAATGGTTAATGGCATGTTGTTGCTGTCCCGATGAAGCGATTTTTGCTTTGTTTGTTACTTAATTGCGCCAAAGTCATTAATAATCGATTAACAGTATATGGCGAGAGGATGCTGATGCTGATGATGATGACAGATGGAAGTTGGGTGTTCGAAGTCGCAGGAAACTGGGGAAGGAAGTGCTCGAAGCTTCCTTTCGGTCGAGAGAGAGTGAGCCATTTAGGAGATACATGCCATTAAACATTCTATAGCTATCCATAATTTGTAAGTCAATAAAAATCATGTTCTGATCAATAAATTTGACACAACACATAAAACTGGAAATTGTAGAAATCAAAAAAAGTAAATATATATATTAAACAAAGAATTGTTTTTAAGTAGAGGCCACATTCATATTTGTTGTTTGAGATTTTGATATTTAAGATCAGACCTTATTGTCAAACAATTAGAACGCAAAAAGCAAACACAATGTTGACTTTAGCTTAATTTTTTTTCCAATACTAATCCTTAATAATTACAAAACTTATTGTTTATGAATCAGAAGATTCTTTGCATTATTATTATACCAATATTTATAAAAATTTTATTTAACAACTCCTAAAATGCTCACTAAAACGACATTCTGATGAGTTTCGATTTATGGAAGTCTGGCTGCTAATGTCAGCTGTCTTGCTTGTCGCGTGGAAGCCTAAGCACCGAGCAACAGGTGTCTAATTGATTGACTGACAAGCGACAGTCGACAGCCGAGATGCGATGATTGGGGGTCTGGGAGTTGAATGGGAGCTGCAGCTCCATCTCCATCTCCAGATGGAAATGGAAATGGCAATGCACTGACAGCCAGGGCCAAACAATGCAATTCAATATATCAAAGGAAAACAGCTCATTGTTTGTCACGCTGTCGCCCAGAAATCGATAATACTCCCGAGATAGCAAGTGGCGGCCTGAATATATCGAGGAAGTACACAGCAGTACGTAGTTCGTACAAAGGAAATTGAATAACCAATGCAAGCACACGAAGATGCCAGGACTGAAATAATAAATGCCCAATGATGATATCTATGACAGGGCAGACAGACAAAGGAGCCAAACCAGCAGACCCCAGCACAAAGAGTTGCTTTTCAGCTGCCGTAAGATGAAGTCTGGACTCAAGGGGAGGAGACTGAGGGCAGTGGCGAGGAGGCAGCTCCACTTTGCATTCGCTGGAAGCTGCACATAAAAAAATGCAAGATCGCATTTAGACTTACAGTAGCCGAAAAGAATTTTCAAAAACATTTTTATAAATTTTTCTTATTGACATTTAATTACCTAAATATATTATTTGTGTGATCTTTTTCAGCTTTAGACACAAAATATCAATTGATTTATAAAATTATAATTTTAAGGATTATTTGTTATCCAAATCATATATCCTGCAGATGGTAACATGAGTTGCAAACATCATATTTATGGTTTTAAAGTAAGTCTTCTTACTTACTTTTTAACTCACGAAAACTAACAAGTTCCGTGTGAATTCTTTAACATAGACTGACAGTTTTAATCATTCAATTGATCTTACAGAAAATATGAAAATATTTCTTTAAGTATTGAGGGGCCAGTTGCAGCTGCGGATTTATGAGCGCTTGTCAGACAACAAAAGTAGCAAATGCGAGTTCGAGTCCAAGTCGCAGCCCAGAATTTAGTCCGAAATGAGTTCATTGTACGGGGACGCGAAGGAGGTGGTTAAACCATCACATCATCTTTCTCCCCACGAGAGAATGAATGCCTGAGCTAATGAGTTGTCAACTGGGCTGATGAGATGAGTTTTATTTGCCAGCAGACAAACATAGCATGCAAATAGTATAAAAAAACAAAAAAACGAGAGCCTTGGGACTTTGGATTTGCATGTTATCCTGTCGGGGGTTGGTTGACTTCGCGAGTGTCAAAGTCAATGTCGGAAAAACTCCGTCTGGGACTTTTACTGGTGAAGTGACAGTTTAAGTGCATCTATTACAGCTCCT